AATTGTGACTGAGAGCAGAGGAGCTTTCCCTGAGCTGTGGAGAGCAGGCACCAACTCAGCAGATTGTAAAATTTGGAATGCTGAAGTGTGCTAGAGGAGAGAACCCCAAGGGCTTAGGGCCAGATGCCATGCTCAGTTCTCTGGGAGGAGAGGAGAGTTACACAAGACAGACACTGCAATGAGGGCTGCCCCCCAAGAAACCTTTCAGGACTCTGGATCCTGTCCAATTTAACTCCTCTCACAAATCCAGTCAGGTTTTTGTTGGCACAGGCTGGTTCTTTGCTCTTGCTGGTGCACTTTGGAATGGAAAGGTCAGTGCCAGGGAAAAACCTATCTAAACATAAAAAACAGAATTATAGATTAACTCATTTGGAGTTTTCATGCTCTTCCATATATGAATTATTTTCTTTTTTGCTTCTCACAATTGCATGCATTTGAGCATGTCTGAGCTCTTTTATAGACTCAACACTGTTTGGTTAAATAAACCATTCTGACAAGCAAATAAACCCAGATTTTTCATTGTTATTACTTTTACATTCCTTCCCCAATCCCAGTCCACATTTGTGCAGCACACATCCCTCACTGCTCAGCTCTGACCCGGGCTCTTTGTGATAATCTGTAAACACTGTCTGCTATCTGGGAACCACTCCCATGCAGGACATCCACATGAAAAATCCTCTTCCTAGAGCTTTGGAAGGAGGACATCACCTGGGCAGGATGTGATGATGGCTCTGATCTGCCCAGCTACCCCAAGGAATTCCTGGGCATGTTTGGAGCTTGCATTGACCAGAATGTGAGAAGGGCTTCAGAGGAGTGAACCCATGGATGACAAAAAAAATAGGTGAGAGCTGTAGCTGGAGCGTGGAAGGAGTGAAAAGGTGCTGGAATTGTTAATGGAAATATCAGCTGTTGCAGTCAAGCCTTACAGGTAATTTTTGTTTTCCTTGGTCCTGCCACAACTGCTTGATAGTTTCTGCCTGAATTTCCACCACCACCATGAGGTCAGGGCTACCTACCAGTCTGGCAGGCTGGGATAGTTTGCCCTTAACATGCAGTTACAACATCACCCTGCCCTTTGCAGGACAAAGCAGAATCTGGATCTGATGTTTGGACACGTGTGAAAATGTTTGAGTTTCATTCCTCGACCACAAATAATCTCCAAAGTTCAAGGTTAGTGTCAGCATTAAAATCAATTCACTTTTCTCCACGCAGGAGAGGCTTGGGTTTAACTCCTGTAAGGAAGTGGTGGGAGTTCTAATAGTTGAAGGGTGATAAAGCAAAGCAGAGCTTGTAGAGCAAAGGTTTATCCTGCACTGATTCAGCAGATTAAAAAAAATATTTGAGGGCTATAAGATCACAGTGGCTGTAGCCCATAAGGGATTGACGTTGCTCTCTTTGGAGGCCTCATCAGATACAAGAAGGGAGCCATAAACAAGACAAAATTTCCCCAAGGAAATTTTTACATCTCTGGAGAGGATATTTGCTGCTCTCTGACCTCTCAGGGGTTCACCACAAGCTTGATGCCATCCTGCCAATGATACTTAATGAGGAAAATAAATTATCAGGTGCAGGATGTGACCAGACAAGTCTAGGGACCAGTCAGTCACCTATTTGCACCCAACCAACCCTTTTCATCCCCTTACATCTCAATTTTCCTGCCTTAATCACCTAAATCCCTCCTTTATCCTCCTTTGGTTCCTCCCCCAAACACTCTATTATATAAAGTCCTGTGCAGTCCCAAAATGCTCTTTTCCTACACAGCATAGGATGTCTCCCCTGCCTTGACACAATCCCACTTATCCCAGGTGGTGATCCAGAGAGCAGTTCCTGATGACATCTCCATGAGGGTCATGCTGGGACTGATGCTGTGCTGGGACAGCCCTGGGAGGAACCTGGACAAAACCCTTATTCCTTGGAAGCCCTGAATTTGAGTTCCCACCTGCCAATCCTCCTGGCTTTCAGTGGGCTGATGGCCCCTGGGGTAGGACTGGGAGTAGCCTGGCAGGGCACATTTTGTCTCTCTGTGCAGATTACCCCCTTCTATCCCATAACCAACACAACAAGCAGCAGCAGCACACAAGGAGGAGGAGGAGGTAGCAACAAAAGCCATGACAAACATTGAGCAAACAAGATCATATCAGTGTTGGCACTGCAGGGATCTGATAACCATGGGATCAGACAATTTGTTCCACGAGTGACACCAGAACAAACACCAGGCCAGGAGTGCCCAGCTCAGAAGCGTGGCCGGTGCCTGAACCGCACGTCGCGCACAGGCTGCATGGTCCCGAACCCCCAGCGGCTGATGTCTACGGCTGGGATCTCCTCCTCCTCATCGACCAGCTCCAGGTCAAAGTGACTCAGCATCAAGAACACAAACAATTTCATTTCAGCAGTAGCAAAGAAGCGCCCGGGACAGGTGGAAACTCCTGCCCCCCAAGGCATGCTGACGAATTTCAGCTTCTTCCCGTTTCTGTAGAAATCTCTCCTGGTGCCGTCTGGGTTTACAAAACGGTCGTACTTAAATTTGTGAGGCTCCTCGTGGATTTCTGGGTTCATCTGCACGGAGATGTGTGGGAACAGAGCCACCCTGTCCCCCCTGCGGAGGGTGAACTCTGTCCCACTGCTTGTCCTCAGGGAGGTGTCCTCGAGGACAGCTCTGACCAGCACTGGGGCTGCCACCAGCCTCAGGGTCTCCTCCAGAGCACTGTCCAGCAGAGGAGTCTGGCTCAGCATGTCCCTAGTGACAGTAACTGGGGGGCTCCCTGCCTTTACTTCCTGCCCACTCTCCTTCAAGACTTTATCCACCTCATCTCTCACAGCCTTCAGAGCCTCTGGGTGCTTCAGCAGATACAAGAGGAGCCAGAAGGCAGTCGGGCCCGTGTTGCCTTGGGATGCCCAGAGGAGCATGAACATGAAACGCTCCCGCATGTACTCGGGGACACCGTTTTCTGCCAGAAGTTTGTCTTGATCACTTATCCAGCCACTGATATTGTCCTTCTGCCAGACCTTCTTCACAGACAGCACGTTCCAGAAGTGTCTCTTCAGCCTCTCAGCCTCTCTTTTGTCCTTGGGAGGCAGCAGAGCATAGGCCAGGCGAGGGAAGAGGCGGTCGTACTTACGAAACTCCTGGAAGAGCTGGTTGGAGTGGAGGCGATCCTGCTCTTCAGCTTTCTCCTGGCTCCCGGCCCCTCGGGGTGGCTCAGTGCCATACAGAGCCAGATACCCAGCTCTGAAGACGATGTTGTAGCAGTAGTGGAAGAGGTTTTCCTCCTGCCACACTCTCTTCTCTCCTGAGCTCAGGTTGAAAAGCAGCAGCTTCCGAAAGCCCTCCATGGTGGCTTGTGTGAGGACAGTGAGGCCATCTCCCATCAGGTGCTTTAGGCTTGATGTATGAACTATGCTATAAGTGGCTTTGATGGGCTTGTAGCCAAAAGCCTGCATGACCAGCTGAGTTGCACTAGTCCTAAAGTCCAGTTTGGATCGCGATTCCTTCACAATGGTGCCAAAGGAGAAGGGATCCATCACAAAGGTGAAGTAATAGCCACCGATCAGCACCGTGAAAACATCCCCGTGTTTGCTCTGCATCCTTTTGAGAAACTCTGAGCTGTCCTTTCTGAATTCCAGCAGGTGGCCCAGCCAGGGAATGGTACCTTTGTCCAGGGGTGGCTCATTGGGTCTCTGTCTCCGAAACACGCCCAGGACATAGAGCCCACCGAGCAGTGACGACACCAAGGTACAGAGGAGAACCACCCAGAGCACCATGAGAGCTCTGTGCCCGTCTGGGAGCTGGGACTAGAGGCAGGCTGGGGCAGGAATGTGCATTTTATCCCCACCCAGCAGCTGATAGGCAGATGCAGAGCTGACAGCCTCTGTCCTCATTGGCTGTGAGTGTTTGCCTTGCCCCTGCAGAGTGCTCTGCTCGAGGTGAACTTGTCCCTGGCTTAACAGAGATTTTTAAGGTGGAAGGTATGTTGGAATGCTGTTGGAGTACCCATGCTGTATTAGGGGGATGGGTTTTGGCATGAGGCAAATTCCCTTCTCTAGGCTGCATGGAGCCCAGATTTTGTAAGGAAAATGTTCAGAGAATCCCACTCTGTGATTTTTGCCTTTAAGACCAGGCTATGGACACCCACTGAAAAAATGAAACCAAGAGTGGATGTTGGAAATGCTACTGGAAATGAGCACAGGACCCAGGGAAGGGGGTCATAGCTGAGCTGATTTGGTCTCAAAAGCCAAGAGAAGGAAAAGTCTCTGACATTTTGGTGATCTCCACAGCACATGGTGTCCCAGGAGTGCTTTGCCAATCAACAGTGCAAGTGCTACTGCTCTGTCTGAGTGCAAAGCAAAGCAGCTGAGCTGACCCATGAGTGAGGAGAGCTTGAGCCACTGCTTTTGCTTGGCACCAGAGGAGTCCAGGGTTTCCAGATGCTCCACCCAGCCCCTGGCAGGGAGCAGTGCCCATAGGGACCACAGCACTTCTGCTTTTCCCACTTTCCCTTCTGCTTCTCAAACTCCCCTGTTACCTCTCTCCAGATGGGGTTTGGGGACAACATCAGGGATGCTGCATCCCACCTGGCACTGCTCCTCTGGGTGCTGCCACCCTGATCTACCCACACTGCCACCACAGCCTGTCCCAGCCCCTGGTGCTTGGACCTCTTCTCGTGCAGGATGGAGCATGACATTAACTCCCCTCTATTCCTCACCTTTGCTCTTCCCTAGAGCATCTCATCAGAAGTCTTCCACAGTCCCAAGAGCCTTCCTCTGTCTGGGATCACAATCTTCATCTGTTTAGCTTCCCAGCTGCTGTCCCTTCTGTCCCTTTCCACGTTCCCTACAGTGACCTGACCCGAGGAGTGAAGGCCACATCATAGCATCAGCTAAATATTTATTCTGGCTTTGTTTTTTTAAGGAAAGCTCCCAACCTTAGCATTTTGGAAAAATACTGTAGCAATGCTGGGAAGAAAAATAACAGCAGTGATCAACTTAAAGCCCTTCTCAGTCCTGTAACCTTATGTAGTAATAAAATAAATGTGATGAGTGCTTTCTCTTAAATTAATCATTTTATTTGTACAACTCTAGGCAACTTCCAGACTTAATAGATTCTCAGGACGAAAAGAGACCATTTAAGGTTCAGGAGCATTTGGGGTGAATAATGCCTTTAAATAAAAGTCAGCAAACTCAGAACCTTGAACTTCAGAGCTGCACTGGGTAATAAGGATTGACCATCAGGCCTCTGTGGTCTTCTGTTCAGGCCATGCTCTCACTCTGTTGTGTTTCAAAGCCATTATTTGTGTTACAGGTGGTACCCATGGTTCTTTTTTATCTTGTCAGACCGGATCTTGGAAGGCAAGTACCTCCACCACTGTTCTGCTGAGCCCCTTTTTATCTCTTTCTCACTGATTGTTACTGGTCTGAACTTTGTTCTGCTCAAACTGATCTCTAACCAAGGCTCTGCCCCTTGGAGAGCCACAGTTCCCTGCTCAGCAGGCACAGCTCATCATGACAGAGAACAACTCAGCTTAAAGTTGTCCAGTCCTTCCTGTTTATCTCCTGGTAGGAAACAAGATTGTCCTGGTTAAATCATCTGGCAGATGGTAAGAGCCAGGAGAAGCAAAGCCATCCCTTGGCAGTCTTTCTGGCCTGATGGATGAGCATGGAATTCCATTCCTCAGCCCACACCAGGGAGGAGGAGAATCTCTCCTCAAGTTTTAATTTGCATTTTTAAAGGCAAAACATTGAGAAATCTGATCCTTTATTTGCTACTGCCTCACATACTCCAGATGGGAACTGGGTTTCTTCCACTAGTGTAAATCCAGGACAATTCTTTCATAATAATTCCACTTGCAACAGAAACAGATCCCACATGTACTTTTCCAATCCCAGTTATGTAAAGTCCTCATCTCAAGGCTGTTGCTGGGATGAACTATCTGGTTACACAGTGCTGTGGGCTCACACCAACTCCATCATGGGCAGGACAGAGGGCTCACACATAATGTAAATAATGTAAATAATGTAAATAATGTAAATAATGCAAATATTTATGAGGCATTTGTGATGCTCAACATTTCTATCTCAGCTGCATATCTGCTGCAAGACGGGCTCGTCTGGGAGTCCTGGATGGAAAAGAAAGCACCTCTCCTAAAAATGGCCTGAGGGATCTTCCTCAAATATGCCCTGAACCGTTTCTTCACAAAAGCATAGAGCAAGGGGTTGAGACAGCAGTGGACAAAGGACAAGCTCTCCGTGACCTGCAGGGCATAGTCCAGATTCCTGCTGCTTTCACAGCTCCTGATCACACCAACATCTTGCAGGGAGTGGAGGATGAGCACAATGTTGTAAGGACACCACAGCACAAAGAAGACCCCCACCAGAGTAAGGACTAAGCAGAGAGCTCTCCTGGAGCCAGGTATCTGGGAGGTGGTGAGCACACAGGCAATGCGGGAGTAGCAGAAGGTCATGAAGAGGAAGGGGAAAAGGAATCCCAGGATGTTTTGAATCACCCGAAAGACAACTTTCCAAAATAAATGTTTCTGGCCATAATCCTGGGTGCACATGATGGTTTTGTTGTGCATTTGCCTTGTGCTGGTGAAAAGGCCATCAGGAATGGAAAGAGCTATGGAAAGGACCCACATCACCAACAAGATGAGGATGGAATTTCTCCATACTGTGGAGCTGTGAGGAGACCAAGCATGAACTATCTGCAGGTACATGTCCAGGCTCATGCAGCTCACAAAGAAGATGCCACTGTAGAAGTTCAGAGTGTACATGGCATTTAAGAATGGGCACAAGATGTCCCAGGTGACCCACTGAGAAATGTACAGAGCCCAGAAAGGAAGGGTCAGTAGCAGGAAGAAGTCTGAAACCACCAGGTTCAGCAGATACAACTCAGTCATCTTCTTCTTCTTCTTGATGTACATGAGGAGGACAGTAAACAGGAGAGCATTCCCAGCCATTCCAAGCAGGAAGATCACAGTGTAAAATGATGGCAAGAACACCCTGCTGAAGGACAGCACCTCCTCTTTGGTGCAGAGGCCATAGAGCCCATAATCCTCCTCATCCAGGTACTCGTACGGGTACTCACTCGAATTGGCAGCATCCAGCCACGTGTCTGTGGTTGCTGCTGTCACTCCTGAGCTTGTGTTTGTCCAGTGGCTGCCTAGGAGCAAGGAAAAGGGATCAAATGTTGTTCCAATTCACACAGGAAGCAAACAGCACATCACAGAGGAAATGTGAAACACAGAGATGTTTAGTTCATAGAATCATGGAATGGTTTGGGCTGGAAGGGACCTTCAAGATCATCTCACTCCAACTCCCTGTCATGGGCAGGGACACCTTCCACTTTCCCAGGTTGCCCCTAGCTCTGTCCAACTTGGCCTTGGACACTTCCAGGGATCCAGGGGCAGCCACAGCTTCTCTGAGAACCTGTGCCAGGGCCTCACAGCAAAGAACTTCCTCCTAATATCTGGTCCAAACCCACCCTCTTTCAGCTGGAAACCATTCCCCCTTTTCCTGTCACTCCATGCTCCTGTAAAAAGTCCCTCTTTGTCTTCCTTGTAGGCTCCATTCAAGTACTGGAATTTCATGGGTTTAAATTTCTGCCACTGTCTGGTGAGTATTTTGTGTCCTGAACAACTTGGCCTTTGCTTAAGTATGGGGATAGCTGTCTACTTGTACATATTTTAAAAAAAAACAAAAAACAAAAAACAAAAACAAAAAAAAAACCCAAACCAAAACAAAACAAAACAAAAAAAAAAACCCAAAAACCAAAACCAAAACCCAAAATTAATTCTGCTTTCCTTACTCAGACACATAAAACTTAAAAATGAATGAGCATGGTTTCCTCTGACATAAGTCACTACTTCCTCCTGGCACCAACACAAGCTTTTAGTGAAGTTTTTGCTCTAAATTACAGGAAATCCACCACCACAGCTCACTGTGAGCTGCTTATATTCACCTGGGTCACTACTAAGAGAGCAACATCTCAATTCTTGGTAAAGAAGAACCTGCCACCACCACCTTTATGGCAGTGGGGCTGTTCCCAGAGGGGAAATGCTGAACATCTCCCTGCTCCTGGGAGGACATGGACCCCTCTCCATGCCAACTCTAGGACAAGAAGACATGGATTCTGGTAAAAGGCATTTGTAAGAGGAAAATATAGAATTCATAGGATCCCAGAATGGTTTGGGTTGAAGAGACCTTGAAGAACATCTTGTTCCAACCCTCCTGCCCTGGGCAGGGACACCTTCCATTATCCCAGGCTGCTCAAAGACTCATCCAAGGTGAGTACATGTAGGCACCAGAATCCAGTCCTGAATTATGGTGAGAGGGAGAGATTCAGCTGGAAGAACATTGCTGGAATCACTTCTGCATGAGACAAGGCATGAGACAACCCCTGCAGCGGTCACTCCCTGGAACTGTGGGCGTCACAGATGGCTGCGGCCCAGATTTCAGGAAATGGTGAGTGACTGGGAGCCTTCTACTTTTGGGATCTGATTTTAGAGTAAAAAAGTTGTCACTGAGGAGCCCATTTCACAGTAGGAGATGGGATTTGCCTGGTGCTGTTGGCACTTTGAAGGTTAATGAGGAATTTATAAATCAAGGTTAATCTTTTGGCAGCAAAACAAAAAACAGTTTTGCAAAAAATTGTGTAAACACCCCTCTACCCTTAAAGCAGACATTTTTTCAGCCATGGCCAAAGGTACCTATCTTTTCCCTGGAGCTCATTTTCCAGCAATCCCAAAGAGGCCTGGCTGTGTAGCTCTGGTCTCTCCTCGAGGATCTGTCTGTCCCTGCAGAGATGTGCAGGGTTTAGGGATGGCTCCCTCCCCACAAACACCCAGGGAAAGGGGTGCCCCTCCACCCCAGAGCTCAGAGTGGGTGTGCAGCTGTAAAGGGTGAAGCTCTGGACATACCTCCTGTGGTCCCATGACTGAAATTGCTTAAATAGCCATTCCACATAGTTCCAGGCACCTGAAAAGAAAAGAAAAATGGATTTGAGCTGGATTGAAATGTTTTTGTGCTGTCTCAGTTCTTTGGCAAGTGCTGCAGAGCACTTCAGACAGAACAGTGGGAGAGCAGGGATCTGCCATGGGAAAGAGCCACAAAAAGACTTGTCTGGGAATGAGCTTTTAAAAATTTCTTTTCTGTGTCATATTTTGGAGGAAATTCACCCTCAGCTGTGACTGCAGACCTTTGAGAGGAAACGAAGGCTGCACACTCTGCTGATCACAGCAACACCCGAGACTCATAAACACCTTCCCCCTGACACCCCCTCTGCCCACACCAGCACAGACCATTCCCAAAATTTGCATTTGGGGTTTCTTCCAGCCCACTGAGATGCCTTTTCTCCCTCTGCCACATCCTTCTCCCTCCACATCAGCCCGGCACTGGCGTCCCCATCCCCACCCCGTACCTCAGAGTGGAAGGGAGGGCTGAGCTCAGTAATTAATCCCAGCCCCAAGCTGGCTACCCCTCAAAGACACAAGAGAGCCTTGCCAGGTTTCTTGTGCAGCCTTGTCTACAAGCAAGGAGCAGAAAAGGCACTTACAGGAGCTTCTTCTCCTCTTTCCATCCTGCCAGAGGCTTGAACCAGGCTTTTACAAACTTCTTTCGTTTGTGCAAGAGGACAGTCAGGAAATGTGAGCTCAGAATAACCTCCCTGGTTTGGTTTTGTTTTCCTGCTTTTTATCATTCCTTGGCAGCACTGGAAGAATGCTCTCCACCCTGTGTTTGAGCACAACATCTACAACAGCTCCCAGGGCTGAGCCCCTGCTGTAAGATGTCCTTGTGTTTTCCAGGAAATCTGATGCTGCAGGATCCTCATCCTCTGACAGACCAGAAATGGCCTCTGCCAAAGGCATTTCTGATGAAGTGGTTTATTGCAGGAGTTTTTGGGCATCAGCATGGGTGAGTGGTCACACTCCTGCTCATTTCCTCATCTCACCAACAAACAGGGCCATGGGAACACCCTGGTTGTGCCAAGGCTTCCCCTGTGGCAATCCCAGTGCATTTTATTCACCCCAAACCAGCCTGGTAAAAACAGGAGAGCAGAGCAGCAGTGATGTCCACAGCTCCACATCCACACAGATTCACAGAGGATTCATAAAAAGAAATTTGTTATTTTTACCCATTTCCATGTTTGCCACAATCAGCTGCTGCTGCACTTAAAATATACCCTGTAATATATAAATATTATTATAATATGTGTGCAACACACACATTAGCAGAGAGCAAGAAGCCACTCATAGAGCTGAGACACTGGACACCCACACCAGAAAGCTGCAGGTGACAGAGGTTTCATTAGGCCAGCAATTAAAATGAAATAAGTTTTTGTTTTTAATTGAGTTTCTGCCCTGAAGCAGAGAATTAAATGTGCCTCTGAGAGTCACTGGAGAAAGTGGCCTTCACTGTAATTTATTACAAGATATTAACTCAATTTCAGGGCTGGTAATTGCATCGATTTTTTGTTTCCTTTCAGACTGCAGGGCCCTAATGGCTTTGGCAATTAAAGTAACCAGATTAGGGGTAATGGGCAGCACATTTAGAGAGATGCAGGCTTGTCTGAGCCGCTTTATTTTACGCTGCCCAAAATGCCACATGTCGGTGGCAGAGTGACCCTGCAGGAGCAGCAGCTCTGCCTTCCCCCAGCTCGGAGATGGGGAGGTACAAACAGCACACAGGAGCACTGGGCTTAGGCACAAAAGGATTTATATTTGCTGTTTTGCTCTGACAAGCTGTTCTCAGAGTTAGGAGAAGGTTTTAGGCATCTTTGGGATCCCAGTGGATTCTTCTTCCTCTTCCAGGATATGGTTTAAGTCAGGAGCAATTTCTAGGCTGTGTTTGGGCATCAAAATCCTGGCACAGAGTGGGGGTAAAACTAGGTCTGCTTGAAAGCTGAAATATGGGAAAACACAGTCAATTACATGATTCAGCAGCATGAAAATCAGGCTGAGGGAAAGCCAGAGAAGCTGTGGCTGTCCCATTCCTGGAAGTGTTCTGAGTTGGATGGGGCTTGGAGCAACCTGATCTGGTGGAAGATGTCCCTGCCCGTGGTAGGGGGTGGAATGGGATGAACTTTAAGGTCTCTTCCAACCCAAACCATTCCATGATTCTGACATCAGGTTGGGAGCTCTTCAGCAAAGGACTAAGTAAGAACCCAAATTTCACAGAATCTCAGAAGTGTTTATTGCTGGTAGGAGGTTTATGTACAAATCACCAACAGGATGGGACTGCTGAGGAATGCATCTCAAGCTGTTTTATTTTCCAGCATCAGTCTCATTACATGGTCATGACAATGGGAAGATGCCAGCAGCTCACATCCCAGGCAGCAGACCAAGAACTTAATGTTACAATTCACTTTAAAAGTTTTTTGACCAATCACACAAAGCAAAAGCACATTGACAGTAGTTCCATCCAACCCCTATAACCACAGGTACCTTTGGTTAAACAATACTTGCTTATGTCAAATATAATACTTGCTTGTAAGCTTTGAGATACAATGCACAGAGCTCCATTATTAAGCTTAGAACTTCTTAATATCTCTAGATATACTATTGGAGTAGATACTATATATCTCTAGATATACTATAATATCACTAGATATACTTTTTTGTAGCTTAAGGAGTTATTTTAGATAAGCGTTAATACACAGACTATTGTTCCATGTGTCTACTTCTTGTATAATTTTTCTGCTGACAAATCTTATGGCTACTGTTTAGCTCTAATTGCAGTTTTGCTATCTCTGAGGCTTGCTTTTTGTAGCTTTCTCAAAACCCTCTGATTTTAAGGATTCCCATAGTGTTTAGGTGGGAAAGGACCTTAAAGACCATCATAGGGAAGATGTGTGCTGATGTCTTTACAAACAATTCCATGGCTGAGGGGATGGCTACTAACGGCTTTGAAATGGGGTTTAATGTCTCTCCCAGCTTCAGCCGAGGGTTTATTACAGAACCTGGGCAGTTTGACTCCTAAACAGCCAAATGGGGCCGCACAACCCCGAGTTTCTAAACTTTGGGGTAAATAACCTGTTCAAGGGGGGATATGTGGCAGGCGGTTCGGGAAGGCTGCACCTCCCTGGTACCTCGGCCAGAGGGGGAAGGCAGAGGGCACCGAGCGAGCGAGCGGTGGATTTGGGATAAAAGGAACCTCGGGAGAGAAAACCCCGCGGGGATGTGCCCCAGGGCCTCTCTCCCTTTACTGACTGAACCTGCAGGATCCTCTGTCTCCTCTATGGACACTGCCTTTTCTCAGAGGGATTTTCCGTACAATCCCATCCCCAGCCATGGGCAGGGACACCTTGCACCATCCCAGGCTACTCCAAGCCCCATCCAGCCTGGCCTTGGGCACTGCCAGGGATCCAGAGGCCGCCACAGCTGCTCTGGGCACCCTGTGCCAGGGCCTCACCAACTCCCAGGGAACAATTCCTTCCCACTATCTAACCTAAAGCTCTTCCCTTTTTCTTTAAAACTGCCCGCCCTTGTCCTGTCACTCCGTGGTGTTGCCAACAGTCCCTCCCTATCTGACTCCACGTCACAGTGTGACAACACGGGACGCTTTTGTAGCGAAAAGCAGACAAGCCGCAGAACCACCAGTAGCCGTTTTTTCGCCCTGTTGTCGAACCCGCTATTTTGCTGGTTTTGGGGCTAACCCAGAGTCCAAGCCCCCACCCGGCTCTCGGTACCGCGACGCCGGGGCTGAGGCCGGGGCTGAGGCCGGGGCTGAGGCCGGGGCGGGCCCCGCAGCGCCCCCTCCCGGCCGCCACCGCCTCCCCGCCGCAATGCGGAGCACCGCGCGCTGACGTCACCGCCAGCCCCACCCCCGCGCCCCTATAAGGAAGCGGTGGTCGCGGTCCCGCTCCGGATTGGCTATCGTTGGGCGCGCGGGCGCGGGGCACGCTGGGAGTTGTGGTTCCGGCGGAGGGGCGGGGCGGAAGCCGCCAATAAGAGGTAGGGGCGGGCCCGGGCGCGGCAGACGCCGGCCGGTATCGGATCAGCGCGGTGAGAGCCGGGTCTGGGGCGGGCGGGACCCCGGGTACACAGCCTGAGTTCTGCGGGCGATGCAGGTGCCTGGGGCTGAAGCCAGGAAGGGCTCCCATGTGGGGGGAAGGTGACTGGGGCAGGAGTGGAGCAGAGGGCCCGTGTGGGGACGTGGGGCAGAAGGCCGGAGTGCGGTGAAGGTGCCTGGGGCCGCAGTCGGGAACAGGCCCCATGTGGGGTGCGGGGGCCTGGGGCTGGAGCGGGGAAGGATCCCCACGTGGAGCTGGGCTGGCGGAAAGCAGCCTAGGGGTACCCAGGGCCTCCCCCTTGCCGGGAGGGATGCTGGGACCTGTCACCTCCCCACTCATGGTCCTCCCTCAGTGTCCCTCCCCGCGGGTGACACCGGTCACACAGGTGCCCTGACCTTGCCGAACCGAACAGGCCGGGCCGTGTGTTCCACCCAGTTTCTTCTGCCCTGTGCCCATCTTGGTCTGAGCTGAAGGTCACAGAAACTTCCCGTGGTGGATGAATTGTTTCACTTTTAATATAATTTTCTTGTGTAAATCTCACCTCTGGCTGTCTCCTCCTCTGCTGAGTGATGGACAGCTCTTGTTACCGTCTCTGAATGAGTCAGGCTAAAATTATAGTTTACATTCAGCAAATAAGAGTGGTTATAGCACGGGCCAAATCTTAGAGAGATAGAGAAACCAAATCCTTTTGCCTAGAAGAGGAAATGGTTTGAGAACCAGTCAGTCTGCTCGCATGGGTGTGCTCAAAATGCTGTGTAACCAGGGAGCACGGCCACCTTTGAAATGTCTCTTCTGCCTAAGGTTACTGGCACCTGCTTAATGAAATTCCTCTTGGTTTATTCTGAGAGCTTGCAGCCTTTCTAAGTGCCCCTGAGCTGTGTTTTGCTGTTGGTGGCAGAGCTGAACAATAGCAGTAGAGATTTTTCTAGCAGGGCCCTCTGTGGTGTCACTGGCAGAAATTGTCATTAAGTGAGTGATGCTTATGCCGAGCACTGAGGAGGGAACAGGTCTTGGTGTAATCCTTGCAATTCCCAACACAAAAAGCTGGGAAGTTCTGGAGGATGGTCTCACTTTGATGATGATGATGGTTCTGTGAGTGGAGGCCTTCTCAAGATGTTGCTGCTTTTTATTTTCCTTGGGGGAAGGTGAGAAATCACCTGTGGATGACTTCTCCTCCTGATGTGACCCCTCACAAGTCTGCACCTATTGAGGGCTTCAGGACTTGCTCAACTCCTTGGTGGTGGCTGTTTTCCATCCCTGTGTTCCCCATCAGGAATTGGGAGTTATGATGATGTGGGACAGGCTGTGGTGACTGAGGAGCTGCCAGGCAGGGCTGACCTTGTGCAGCAGCTCGTGCTTCCCAACCCAACTGCTGTGGCTGCTGCTCTTGGCAGGGAATGAGGGGGAGAAGTGAACTTTGCTGAGGTCAGAAGTGCCATAAAGGACCAGCCTGCGAAAGCCAAGCGGAGTGGTGAGGCATGGAATTCCTAAAAGGAAAGGCAGGCAGTGACCAAAGCTTTCTGTGACTATGGAGAGGGGTCACTGGGATCTCTCATAGTGTGAACAGATGGCAGAAATTTGTTGTTCTCCTACTTTTTTTGGTTTTGTTTCATTGTTACCTCTCCTGGTGAGCAGAGTCCTACTTCCCAAGGCTTCACTTGAATTAAACCATCTTTCCACGCTGCCTGTTCTTATCTCTCACTACCTGGATATTTGTGATAAGAGATTTCCTTTCCCTAAAGATTCTCTTTATTTGGGGTTTCCAAAGCCTGAAGGGAGGTTCTTTGTCTTCACAGCCACAATGTCACCCAGCCAGGAATCCGTTTACCCTGACTATGAGACAGAGACCAGCCAGACCTCGAAGCTGATAAAAAAGTTTAAGGAGACGCCGTTTGTGCCCATTGGTGAGTTCAGAAATGGAGAAATGTGTTTGCACAATCGATGTGGGAAACACCATTATTGTTCACCTTTTTTCTGTAAACAGGAAATTACTTAGAAATTACCTCCCCATAATAGTTGTCCTAAAAGAAAGAGGGAAATTAATGAGGTCTGTTACCTTAAATATAAAACTCAGAACCTACAAGTATTAAAAAAAAACCCAAACCAACAAACCCTGAAAGGCTTTTTAGGTGGGGCTACAAACCATGTGAAGGTGATGCTGTCAAGTGGTTAAGGAATGTGTTGTGCAGTTGTTCTGGAGCACAGTTCCTGGGAATTATGTGACCACTACAAAGTGACTTAAAAGCTGTAAAATTACGAACTAAAAGGATTTAAATTACAGCCTGTCTGGTAAATGTTTCACACCTCTGCTACCATCACTTAGTTAAAATGCATTTTTTAGTAACTTTTATGTTACTCCAGCTTGAGGAAGTTGTTCAGTTCTCAGCCTTTCTGTTGAGACTTCCAAAAAGCTTCTGAGGAGAGCAGGGATCAGCTTTTGTGTGCCACAGGACACGTTTTGATTTCCAGCCACCTTAAATGGAGAGCAGAGAGGTCACTTGGGGTGAACTGTTCCAAGCTTTTGCCAGCACATTTCCGTCACTGCTTCCGTGCTCACTGCACTTTGTCTCCACCTTGCTGGGCTGTACCATGAACTCCAGGAGTTCCAGTTCCCTGAAGCAGATTGGCAGAACTCACCTTTGACCTGTGTCAGAGCTGGGCTGAAGGCCCTAAAACTGTTAAATGGTATTTAATGAGAGTGAATTAAGTGTTTACAGCTTTCTGGTGTAATGCTCTGGCTCAGGGAAGATAAACTGCCCGTGCTCTGCTCAGTAAAATATACACAGCACTTAAAACTTGGCATGCACCTATGAACTGTGCAAATAATCCTAAAAATGGAATGAAATAGATGGAATTGGAAAACGTTGTGCATTTCTCTGTGTATTCTGAGAAAGCATTAGTGTTGGAGCTGGCAAAGCTGGGGCTGGTTGCTCTGCTGAAGGACTATCAGTGAATTCTGGCCCTGGGAAAGAGACCCAGCAGAGCCTCCCTCCTCACAGTTTGGGGACAATAACATGTGATTTCTCCTGTCCTGGTGGCACCTGGCCAAATGTGACAACACCCAAAATAGCAACTGCAGCAGGCCAGTGGATACATCGGGGAGCATTCACACACTGAGAGTCTAAGCTTCAGCTGGGTGGAGGTCTTGGCTGTGTCTGTGCAGGGAAAGAAGGTGTGAGGAACCCTGGTTCTGTCTGAAAAATATCCAGGGAATTCTCACACCTTGAGCTGTAATGCCAAAATCCTTTGCCATTTTAATGTTGATGGAAGTCTCTTGCTCTTGCCTGCACTGATTGCATTGCATGAGGTAGCACTGGAGTGAAACCAGGGCTAGGATTTACCACTCCACAAAACCAGAGTGATTAGACCAAAACAGGCTTATTTTAGGATGGGAGAGTTGTGCCAGGGGAGGTTTAGACTGGATATTAGGAAAAATTTCAGGGAGAAGGCTGCCCAGGGCAGTGCTGGATCACCATCCATGCAGGGATTGAAAAGCTGTATAGATGTGACACTTGGGGACATGGCTGTGGGTTTCTCTGGGTCTGGATTGAAGGCACTTGAGACATTAGTTCATGTTCACACTCAGGTGTTTATTATTTCTTATCAGTAAAACAGTCTCACTACTGGGAGTTCAGCAGCTTTTCATTAGAAGGCACAAAATGGCCAACAATCTCTTGTTCCAAGGCCTTTTCAGACTAAACTATCCAATTAAGAGCTGACACCTGGATTATTTTCCCTTTTAACCCAATCACTGATCCCAGAGCTGCAATGGGGACTTTTCTGCCCAATTCCAAAATGCCACCCAAACCCATGGAGAAGGAGGAAGAAGAAGCATGGAGCAGAAACCCAGGATGACACCCTGTGCCCTCCATCTGCTTCCATCCACAACACACTAAAAACCCCAAAAACCTCAATTTCTCACCCAGTGACACACCTGCACTGCTCTCTATAATCTATTTCACACTTTTGTGGGTTCCAGTCTATCTTGAAGTCTGGGGAACTTTCTCCATGAACGAGGGTCAAAGTCAGTGCTGCCCTGGGGGTCAGGGCACCCCAGAGCAGACAGAGAAACATTCCCAGTGCCTTGGGTTTCCATACATGGTTTAGGGGTGGCCTTGGCAGTTGTGGGGGAATGGTTGGACTCAGTGATCTTCAGGGTCTTTTCCAACCCAAACAGCTCAGTGGTTCACAGGCTGTTTTGTTTAGGTGGGTCCCTTCACTCCTGGTGCCCTGGATCTCCACTCAGAGGGATGCTCTCGTTGCCTTGCAGGGATGGCTGGCTTCACCGCCGTGGTGGCCTATGGGCTGTACAAGCTGAAGCACAGAGGTGACATGAAACTGTCCCTTCACCTGATCCACATGCGTGTGGCAGCCCAGGGCTTCGCCGTGGGAGCCCTGACGTGTGGTACGTATGCAATGGGAGCTGTGCTTGGCAATGGCAAACCATGGAGAACCTCCTGGATCTCTCCAGTGGACAACAGAGCTGGCATGGCTGGCTGGAAGCATCCAAAACATGTATTTCAGGATGTTTGTGCTCCTTACTGCTGCTCAATCAGCCTTTCTGGAGTAATCTGATTTTATGTATTTAATTTCAGAGTAGCAGTTTTGATTATGTCTAGATGTGGAATGTGAGGTCCTGCATCTCTGCCTCTTACAGACCAAAAAAAAGAAAACATTCATCTGACATTAAATATGTTGCTGTTTCTGAATTTAATGCATTGGAAGATTTACAGCTTGTGTAGACCATGGTATTACATATTTTTATATATATTTATATATATACACATATACAATATATATGTATATATATTATATATATACACATGTATACAATATATATGTATATATTATATATATACATGTATACAATATATATATGCGCATATATGTGTGTATATATAATATATATGCATATATATACATACTGTTATATGTGTATATATGTGTATACATATATATATATAATATATATTTATATGTATGTATTTTTTCAGGACTGGACTTGTGTCTCTGAATGTACACTGTGCCCCTGATCTGTACATCCCAGGTCTCCTCTGTGTGTAAATGTCCATCCCATGAAACACTGTTTGTGCTGCATTCCCAGCAGGAACATCAGAAAAGCTTGACTCTGGCCACAAAATCAACTAGAATTAACTCAGGATCTGCATTTTCATAAATTGTATATTTTTATACTCAGTTTCTCTGTGTATGAAGAATTTTGGAGTGTTTGTTTAAAAAATGTAGCTGAGGAGGAAGGGAAATTCTGTCTTGCTGACAACTGTTCAGATTTTGAAACCCATCCTTTCCAATTGAACACAGTTCTTTAATTGTGCTTTTTTTCCCTGTCTTGCAGGGGTGCTGTATTCCATGTTCCAGGAGTATGTGGTGAAGCCCAAGGAATAGTGGGGAGCTGTCTGAAATCCCTGTCCTGCTGGTGGCCTGTGTACTGCAGCTCCAAACCTCCTACTGAGTGAGGGGTTCTTGAAGAAAACAAATAATACATGGCATTAGAGAATTGTTCTATTTTGTGTATGGTACACTGTGCTGAACCTGGCAGCCTCAGAATGTGACCTGTGGCTATTGGGGTCTGGGTCTCTCTGATTGACGCCACCACATCCCAGTTTTTAAGGGATATTGTGGAGTGCAATCCCTCTATCTTCCCCTTCAACTCAGTCCTAAAACTGGTGATTTCTTCTGCTGTTGTTGCCCAAAACCATGATGTCTGAACTGGCTTCTGTCAGGAAAGCCTGGCTGTCATTTTCTCTCCTCTGCCTCCAACTTTGTAATTTAGAAGCTTCCAGTAGCACTAAATAACTTCTAAAATATTGAGAGCTATATAAACATCTATATTTTTTATTTAAAGCATAGAGATAAGTATGTTGCAGCTATTTAAATGTTATATTTATTCATTGTTAACGAAGACACAGGCTCCCTATTTTTGCTATATCAGACCCTTGGATTATGATATTTTGTAACTTTATTTACAGTGTTCTTCTGAGTAACATCTAAATGTAACATTTAAAATACAGATTGTGAAAACTGAACTTTAATTTGGTGGTTTCATGCTTTTAAAGTGTACAATCTAGCTGATTTCTGCAGTACTGTTCCGCACAGAAAATTCTAAACCATTTAAATCTGAAAAGCCCCCCCATCACCTTGTCTGAGAGTTATTTTACACTCAAACTCCTTGTACTTCCAACAGCAGTCACAAAAATAAAAGCCAATTTCTAAAAAAGCACATATTTTCCTGTCAGCTCACATTGCATGGTGACAGTCTCAGATGTTACCCATACAAGGTACAAACTGCACCTACCTGTCTGTGACCTATTGTGCGGAGCAGGGGGAGATTAAACACAAATAAAAGTGAGCAGTGGAGGTAATAATTTCTGTGAGCTGTTGTACAGAGCAGGAAGAGATTAAACACGAATAAAAGTGAGCAGTGGAGGTAATTTCTGTGAGCTGTTGTACGGAGCAGAGGCAGATTAAACACGAATAAAAGTGAGCAGTGGAGGTAATTTCTGTGAGCTGTTCTATGGAGCAGGAAGAGATTAAACACAAATAAAAGTGAGCAGTGGAGGTAATTTCTGTGAGTTGTTATACAGAGCAGGAAGAGATTAAACACGAATAAAAGTGAGCAGTGGAGGTAATAATTTCTGTGAGCTGTTGTACGGAGCAGAGGCAGATTAAACACGAATAAAAGCGAGCAGTGGAGGTAATAACTGTCCGCCTATGAATTTGTTGGCGGGGGGCTCCCATCCCCAAGAGAGGGATGGTGTGAGCAGAATAAAAATCCCGTGAGAAGGGAAAGGGAATTCCAGCCCGGTGCTCTCCTTGAGTCCCAGCTGCTATCACCCTGCTGCCCTTGGCTGCTCCCACACCGATGGGGAGGGGTCCCGACGCTTTTTCCTGTTTTAACCACCGTGAAGGGGGGAGAAGGAGCCGCTCGTGGGGCCGAGGGGCCGGGATCGGTGCGGGAATTGCGGGAATGGCGATAGGGAGCGGTGTGTGAGGGGAGCCATCATGGCGGCTGCGCTGAGGGCAAGGGCGCGCGCGCGTTGCCATGGGCACCGCACCGGGAGCCGGGGCCACAACTTCGGTGTCGCCGCTGCCCAGCAGGAACCGGGGACAGCCGGGGACACCCAGCCGGTGCCACCCGCCCGGTGCCCTCGGGAACGCGGCTTGGGTAGGCCGGGGGAGGTGCGGGAAGCGCGGGCAGGAGTTCCCGCCGTGGGGGAACAGCGCGGCACTGCCGGGACCTAGCAGGTCCTGGCAGGACACAGGGGTGGTGGCAATTACAGCTACAGGTTTACAATTAAAATATATAAACGTAAACACAAGAAATTCTGCCTCGAAATGGGCGAGAAGTTCTTTCTGCAGAGAGCTGGGAAGGTCTGGCCAGGGAGGGTGTGGAGTTTCCTTCTCTGGGGACATCCCAAAGCCACCTGGGTGAGTTCCTGTGTCACCTGCTCCAGGTGACCCCGCCTTGGAGCCCTCCTGGCTGGAGCCAGGGATGGTTTAGAGGAGATATTCTGGAATATTTAATCGATATTCTGGAATATTTCATCACTGGAAGGGTTGAACCGTGTGAAAAATGTGTATTTTTGGATTGGCTTTTCGCAAATATTGAAATGAATATTATGTTATGTTAGAAAGTTATGCTGTATTAATTTTTGTTACTAGTGTGTTAAATATAGTTTTAGGTTATAATGTTAAAATAGAAACTATGCTATGTAAGATACTTCTAAAGAAAGGACTTGCAGCAAGATAGCAGCCACAGGACACCTGAATCTTTCAGATGTGAAAAACGCCAATCACTTGTTTTTAAAATTTTAGAAGTTAAATAGTAATAAAATGGTTATAAAAATAGTAATACAATTAGAGTAATAATAATTTGGACAAACTGAATTAGGACAATATGAGACAATAGAAACAAAGAGTTAGGGACATCTGGGTACCTTTTTCTGGGCAGCACGAGCCCGAGAAAGGACCCAGGTTAACAGAGGATTAACCCTTAAAAGCAACAGCCTGTTGCATATTCATACACCTCATCCATGATGCATAAATTCCATTCAAACACAGGATTCTGTCTGGTCATCAGCAACTTCTTAATCCTAACAGTGCCTTCGAGGCAGGAGAAGTTCATTTCTTCTGATAAGAGGGCAATAAATTCTCTTTCTCTGAAAGATTCAGGTGTCCTGTGGCTGCTGTCTCGCTGCAAGTCCTTTCTTTAAAAAAAGTATCCTACATAGCATAGTTTCTATTTTAACCTTATGTTATAACCTAAAACTGTATTTAACACACTACTTAAGAGAATTAATACAGCATTACTTTCTAACACACCACATATCATATTCATTTTAATATTTGTGAAAAGCCAATCATAAAATACACATTTTTCACACAGAGAAAGAGAATTTATTGCCCCATTATCAGTAGAAATGAACTTCTTCCTGCCTTGCTCAGCTATGAAAATGCTGTCAGGATTAAGAGGAAGAAGTTGACACTGCCCTGACAGAATCCTGTGTTTGAATGGAATTTATGCATCATGGATGAGGTGTATGAATATGCAACAGGTTATTGTTTTTAAGGGTTAATCCTCTGTTAACCTGGGTCCTTTTTCAGGCTGATGCTGCCCAGAAAAAGGTACCTGGACATCTGTAACTCTTTGTTTCTATTGTCTCATATTGTCCTAATCCAAATTGTCCAAATTATCATTACTCTAATTATATTACTATTTTTATAACAATTTTATTACTATTAAACTTTTAAAATTTTAAGAAACAAGTGATTGGCGTTTTTCACAAACCTTTCAGTGTGGAGCAGTTCATCCCTGGAAGTGCTCAAATCCCACATGGATGTGGCACTTGGGGCCAAGGTTTGGTGGTGGCACTGGGTAATGGTTGGACTTGGAGGATCTGAGAGGGTTTTTCCATGGTAGCATTGTGGGGTTGGAGCTGCACCTTGAGTACCATGCACATTTCTGGCCTATAGATGAGTAAATAACTCAATAAGTTATGAAATAATAAATTAATCAGCAATGCGGTCTAAGTAAAGAAAATTCTGAGAAAAATCATGAAGCCTAAAATAGTTACTCTGCTAAGAATTCTAGGATATTTTCAGAACAGAGACAGCTATTCTTTGAAGATGTTCTTGCTTATCTTTGCTATCTTTAAGGTCAGTAGCAAAACCCATCAAGAAATCCAATCTAATTATAAATTTAATTATCAACCCAAAGGTTACTGAACCCAGAAAAGCTGTCTAAATTTTATATCCAGTTTGCTTAAGTAAATGGAATGGGCTCCTTATCTCTGTAGGCTTTTTCTTAATCTCAGAATCGCCTTTAATCAATTAAAATTAATTTTCCAGCCTCACTGACTCAGTAATTCTTTGATCCCTCATGCCCAGAGCCCTGTGGGCTGTGCAGAGGCACCAGACTCTGCTCTTTGCACCTTGTCCAGGTGACTCTCTGCCCATAAAATACACAAAGGGACACTCTGCCTTTTGGTGCATTAATCAGGATAATTGGATTTCCCTCAGTGTGGGAAAGGCCCTGTGATAATTACTCAGTGCAGGGCGTGCCTTTGGAGGTATTTATGTATTATAAATAGACCAAAGGTGCAATAGGGTTTTTTGCCCACAATAAATGTCAAACAGAAGGAGAAAGGGGCTGCAATTTATCAGAAAACTGGCCTTAGTCATCCTAAGAAAATGTTTGGGTAGTGATATTAATATTTAAAAATATCTATTCATAATATATTGTTATAATGAAATATACTTAATAACTAATATATTATTATTTAGTTATTTATTGGTATCACTCAGTTATTAGAAATTTGCAGGAAAGGTGTAAGCCACACTTTTGTCTTGCCTGAAGGGATCACAAGGAAAAAAATATTTTTCTTTCTCTCTCATGAACCCAAAAATGGGGGGATTTGCACCTTTCCTGGACATGGGCAGGGAGGCTGGAGGGTCCCAGCCACTCCAGTGTGGCCTGGCTGCCACATTGGCTGGGATTTGGCCCCAACCTGCTCCTCTGTTAAAATGTTTATTTAAGCAGGTCTGTTTAGGAACATTTGGAAACGTTGCTTTTTGAATTCTGGAGTGAAAAAAAAACCAAAAGCTTTTTTTTAAAGGGCTGTTTAAAAGCCATTTATGGAAAAGGGACTTGAAGCAGGGCTGGAGATGAGGAGGAGGAGGTGGAGGTGCTGTTTGCAGGGGTCCCAGGGTGAGGGAAGAGATGAGAATCTTGACTCCATGTTTCAGAAGGCTGATTTATTATTTTATGATATATATTATATTATATTAAAACAAAATGATAAATTAAAACTCTACTAAAAGAATAGAAGAAAGGATTTCATCAGAAGGCTTGAACAGAATGGAAAGGAATGATAATAAAATCTTGTGACTGACCAGAGAGTCTGAGACAGCTGGACTGTGATTGGCTATTAATGAAAAACAATCACATGAGACCAATCAAAGATGCACCTGTTGCATTCCACAGCAGCAAAACATGGAGAAGCTGAAGCTTCTCAGCTTCTCAGGAGAAAAGATCCTGGCAAAAAGGATTTTTCATAAAACATGTCTGTGACAGAGGTGGGAGACTGGGCAAGGTCAGGGAGGAGAAGCTGCAGAGCAGCTGCCAGAAGGGGATGTTTCTCAGGGCAGTGCTGATCTCTGCTCTCTGTCACTTCTTATTTTCCTCTCCTTATGCTTTTAGTAAACAATGGAGCCAGAGGTAAAAGTGATTGAAGATTTCAAAAGCCAGTTCAAGGCTTATCAGGAGCAGCAGCAAAGGCGGCTGAAAAATTTGATGGAGGCCAAGAAGGAGAAGCAGGACAGGCAGAAGAGCACTGGCAGCACAAAGGAGACTGTAAGAGCACTGAGTGATCTAAACCTCTTTAAAAAAGGACCTCCTGTAAAGGAAGATGCCAGCAAAAGGTAAAGGTCTGGCAGCACCATTCCTTCAGGAAGTCACTGGAGTGTATTTTGCTTATGATCTCGTGAAACTCAGTATTATTAAGCTGAGAGGACACTTTCTGTTTTCACACACTGGGCTCTCATTATCCTGAGCAGATTCTCCTTGTCCCTAATTATCCTCAGGGCATTGTGCTGTTCTCTTTAATGTCAGTATTTTACAAATGAAGGGGCAGCCAGGTACCACCTGACCCAATCCAGCCTTTTGGGGTCACTGGCACCCTCTGAGCTGCTGCTTAGTTCCTGCCTAGCTTTAAACTAATAGGTTCTCTACAGGAATAATTTCCAAAGATGGACACAGGCAAAGCAGCTAATGGGAGCAAGCCACAGGCCTGCAGTGCAGAAGTTTTCCCTGGGATTTCTTTGCAGTATATCCTGATTTGGTGGATCACAAGATTACCAGGACATTGGGCATTTTGGTATGGATCTCCCTTAATCTTGTGTTTTCTTTTGAACTGAGTACTGGAGCAGAGATTTAAAGCCCCAGCTCAGATCATTTCTCTTCCTCCCAGGATGCAGTCAGCCTTTCCCTCTGACCCAAAGAAAGCTTCTCCTGACTAGAGCAGGTCTGGGGCTGGACACACCCAAAGGTGTCTGCACTGCTGGCTATGGGAATAAAACTCATGGGACTCCATTTCTTCATGGTGGAAAAAGCCCATTCTTTATTCACATAACTCCTTTTTATTCAGTTTTTCAGACTTCATGTGGGACTCCAATTGCTCAGTATTTTTCTTGACAGTTACTTATTGGTTAGCAACAAGTTGTTATTCTGTATTGATTGGTCACTCAAATCCCCGGGGTATAAGTGCAGGAAAAGTTGTTTGTGAGAGATAGTTTTCATTTTTCTAACAGTGTAAAAACAGTTTATACAGGTACCAGTTGTTTTTCACCCAGGAATAGATTGTTATGTTAATGAACTGCTCACACTAGGATTGCTTTCACATGGGAACTGCTAACTATTAGCTTTGACCAGACCAGCCATTGATTTTAACAGAGCAGGCTTGATTTTATGCAACCTTTCTTTATGATTTTTCTACCTTACTGCAACATCAGCTGTTCAGGGCTTTGCTCTGTGGCAGTAGTGAAACCAGGTGAAGAAATTTTCATGCACTCACCAGAGCTGTCTGATTTGCCAAGTTTAGCCCCCAATCCAACCCCTTCCCTTCAACATTGTTTTCTGATAATCTGTAGAAGATTATGATGGAAATTTGATTTTTAAAAAATTCCTGTGAGGCTGATTCCCATAGTTCAGATGTTTGGCAGAGGAAAGGGATTTAGGTGCTCCCATGGCACAGCCTGGGCAGTGTGCAGAGCACAGGAAAGCCCAGTAGTTCTCTGCTATTTAGAGTTCAGTACTTTAGGCCTGAGGAATCCCAGATTTTTTATTTACCTCTGTTGCTGTGTCACTGTCAAAAGTCCTCATTTAACATGGCAGGTGTGGCAGATAGATCTGGACTGTCCTTTGCTTGTGTACATTCAGCAGAGTGGTTGTGAGTGATCAAATCCAGGCAGGATTTGTTTTTGGAAGGGATTCACCAGGATGTTCTCTGCAATATTCCCATGACAACACATCAGAGGCTTGTTCCAGGATCACAGGACTCCACATGGCCTGCAGTGACAGTGATTTGAGTTTGTCACTGCTGTTTATAGCAGCAATCAGAAAACATTTTCCTCTCAGAAGTCTCCCTTCCTCTGAGCCTTGGGAATTCTTTTTTCCTTCCTCCCATCCTACTCCCCAGTCTTGTTTAGACAAGTGTTTAGCTGATATTTCTGCCTTTCTGTTATGTTCTCTCTGCAACTTTATCCTCCCTTCTCTGTTTGTTGTACTTGAATGTATCTAAGTGACTCTCCCCATCCCGTGCAGAATCTGTAACAAGAGCTGGGAAAGACACAATTTGACAAAAGTTAAATCACTCCTTACTTTTTTTGGCCTGAACAGGGCAGGCAATGTGGGAAACCACCTGAATTCCAGGCACAGCCCTGCTCATAAGCTCCACCTGGCTTTGATTCCTTGAAGGAGAGTGAAAAGGGGCACCTTTGGCAGCCCATTTCTTTTGGCTCATTTTCTGTAGCCTCTGTGACAGGGAGAGTCACTCTGGGGTGGGGTGCGAAGTTCCTCAGAGAAGACTCCAGCTCTGTGCACTTGGGATTTCTGTCCATCCTCCTCTAAGTGCTTTTCCTCAACACTTGGACTCCAGCTCTCAGAAGACTTCACTGCTCAGGTGTGTTAAGAGCTTAGAACCTTTTGTCCATGTTAATCCCCCAACTGCTCAAAATCTTTTGGTTCAAGTGTCTCTAATTGGATCTGAGTTTTGTTGCTCACTCCTCTGAGTGGTTCATGTGGGAATAACTCAGTTCTGCCTTTGCTCACACTGCTCTTTGCTTTCTTCTCCTTTGTGAACAGCTGCCTTTGATCTCCCTTTGATTTGCAGCTTTGAAACACAAGTGCATTTCTTAATTATGCATTGTGAATCCTCTCCTAAACTGCCTGTGCTGTTTATGGCAGTGTTTTCAGGGGTCCATGGGCAGATGGAGGGTGCATTTAAAAGCTCTCAGGTCCTAGGGGTGCTAAGAGCTTGCAAAAACTTTGGAATGAAAAAAATTGAGATGATTATTGAGACATCTGACTTGGTTGTGTTTACAGGTACCTACTGTATCAACCAGGTTTTGTCCAAACCACATCTCCAAAGTGTAAATATTGAGGGTTAAATGAGAATCTAGGAGTCAATTCATCCAGCTGATTTAGGTGTCTGGATAACTGAGATGCTGTAGATTATCAGGAACTTCCACATGGGAATCCCAGGGCACTGGAGACCTGCATCTTGCACCAGCAGCAACTGGGGTCAGGTGGGCAGCCCAAATGTCACCTGTGAGGGGGTAATTTTATTAAATCCCAAGTTTTCTCAAGGACCCTGTGTCAGTGAGCTCAGATAATTCTGAACTCTCACAATTGAATGGAGCCCCTGAGGCCACAGCTCCTGGATTTTATTATTTGAAGGACCCATCACATCAGGGCCATAAAGGGATTAAAGTTATAAATTCTCTGGACATCTTAGAGAGATGAAACCTTTAAATGTTGCTAAATGTCCTGAAGAATAGGAGAAGCAGGGCTGTTTCTTTCCATTCAGAGGGCTTTTTTTGAGCATTCTCTGTTTCTAAATGAATTCCAAAAGGCACCATTAACAATACAAACTGAGGCTCACAGGGTTCCAGGAGAATCAGCTGAGGACATGGGAAATTGGTCTGTTATGAATTGCTCTAAAACATTGATTTTTTAAAAGACCCCAGGGGCAGCTTTATAGTCAATGCTCTGTTGGCTTCTCTTGGCTTTGTCAAGTATAGAAAAGAAAGCCTGAATGTCCCACATGCTGAATGCTGCCTGATTTCCTCTGAAGAAGCAGGTAAGTAACACTGAGATGACACTATTTGGTAACCTCAACCTGTTCTGTGATGTTTTACCCCAGACAGCTCAAGAAAGTGCAATTTTATTTTTATTTTTTTTAAGAAGTTGTTATCCAAATAGATCAGATAATCAGCTTGTGTTCTTATCTGAGGTTTAGGACATTCTGCCTAATTCAATAAACTGACTCCTGATAAGCTCAGCCCATCCATCATGCAGTTGTTCCATTATTTTATTTCTAGGAGCACTTCTTTGTGCATTATTTACCATTCTGGTTAATTTTTTCCCAGTTTCTTTGAGGCTGAGAATGAGCAGCTGCAGGATCAGCTCCGAGAGCTCCGGGATGAGAACTGCAGGCTCTACAGACTGATGGCAGAGAAAGATTTTGAAATAAAGGAGCTCCAGAAAAGAGTAAAGGAGGAGAGGTTGGCTCTGTCAGGTAAACACAGCAACTTTTGTGTTCTCCCCATGTTGGTTTGCTCGATGCTGATCACCAAAAAGTGTCCCTGAAAAGAACTGTGCTCTGTTAGGGTACACAGTGATTTCTGTTCCTCATAAAACTGTAAGCTTGCTGTTATTGGCACAAAAATAATGAAGTTCCCTAAAAATATTATTTTGGAAAACTTGCTGTTAGTGTCAAAGAGCTGTGCTGCAGCTTTCTCTGCTCTGTAGGGTTAAATTTCTTATTCAGGCTCCTTTTTTTTCTGCCTGAACAGGGCAGAGGAAGGATGCTGGATGAATGCAAAATTCAGGTTCTAAAGTGATTTTGGTGGTTTTTGACAACGGAACTGTGCAGGCTGCACCTCCTCCACTGGGTGCCGCTGTTGGTCAGGACAGCAGCGATAACCAGGCTTGAAGAGAAGGGGAAACCAGCAACGAAGAGAACGAAATATCATGAAATTCCACCTTAATCCTTGAAAAGCAGCTGTAGTTTGTGCTTAGGAGAGGTGATAATCTCTTCCTGGTCAGCAGCAGGAGCCAGATGTGCTGGTGCAGCTCCTCTGGCTGATGCCAATCCCTTGCCTCTGTTTTCCTCTCTGCATTGTGGCAATCCCCACATTGCTTGGGAGGGAAAAGCCTTGGGTGGGTGTGTGCAATGCATTTGAAGACCAGCAATTTAACATGGAAACAGCAACCTGGCTTTGGTTAATTTAGTTTTTACTGTGATTCTCAGCAGCCATTATTTATCCTGAAAACTGTGGTAAAAGTAGCTCCTAGGTAGGAGGAGTAACACAAATCACACAAAGGAATAGTGCTTTTGAAAATAATGAATTGATCTAAAGTGCTTTTAAAAAGGCATTTTAAATACTTTTAAAATAAATTCATTTAAAACAATAAATTGTGTTCTTTAGAAGGTTTTTAAACAGTGGCATAGGAACAAATTCTGTTCCCAGCTGTGTTCTGTGTGGTTCCATGAATGTCTCTGGGGCTGTATGGGCCTCAGCATTCACTTGGGAGTGATCTCTCACCTCTCATCCCACCCCAGTTCATGAATATCAGACAAAAGTGATTCCTGCAGGGCTCTGAAGGAGGATGAAAGAGTTAATGACAGCAGCCAAGTTGAGTCTGCACACCCCCACCAAGGGTTTGTTGTTGCAGGCTCATGTTCCTCACTGAGCTGGAAGTTTCTGTGGACATTGTTTGCCCACGACATTGATTTTGCACTTGTACAAGAGCTTTGCTTCACCTGTGTGGTGTTAACCAGAGCCAGGTGACACAACAGCCAGGCCTGGGGTGTGCTCTGTTTGTGGCACTAATCAAACCCTCCCTGATGAGGGAGCCAGTGACGTGGCTAATTGAAAGAGCAATTAAAAGAGTCAGACAGTGAAGCTCCCTGTGTAATCCCAAGGGAGTTATAAATAGGCACAATGAAATTCCCTGGACCTTGTCCAGGAGCCAGCTGTAATATTGTGCCTGACCTTTGAGGACTGATGTCTAGAAACGTTCACACCTCTGTTCCAGCAGCTCCTCCTGTAGTAAACAACCAGGCAAAGCAGAGTGTTGCCTTTTGCTGTGATAATGCCAAAAAATCCTGTTCCCAGCTGTCCTTCCCAGCAGCGAGCAGGAAACACCACTGCCCTCTCTAGGTAAAAATGTGGCTACTACCACCATTAAATCTCACTTCTAGGGTGTCAGGTAGACTGCTCCTTTTATATTTCTCTATTGAGTAATTCTGTTCTCTATTTGCTTTTTATGAAATATTCTGGGCTGGATAGGATTTGGATTTATGTGTATAAACATTGCCACAGTGTGAAATGTGGCTGTGGTGTGCTGCTGAATCAAAGGACCAACCCATCAAGCTGGCACCTCTGCCATCTCTTCCCTCACTTGTTCATTGGAGTGCCTGGCACAGCTCAGAGAGGAAGGGATGGGACAATGCAAGTTCATTGTGCCAGGGAACAAAAGCCTGCTCTGTTCTGAATCCTGCCTGTGAGATGTGCCCTCTGCTTTGATGTGTTCCTTTCAGGGGTGTCTGGTTTAGCTGGAGACGTGGCTGCCACTAAAATCGTGGAGTTGGCCAAAAAGAATCGGGAGGTGACTGCTGAGTTTGAGAGTGAGAGAGCCAGAGTGAAGCAGCTGAATCACAGAGTCAAGGAGCTGGAGAGAGAAGTGAGGCATTCTTCTTGTTCTTTTTGCATGATAAAACATGGAAATCCAGCCTCTGGGATAGAGAATGGGTTTGGTTCATGTTCCCATGTTGAATTTGCTCTTAAATCCGTGTTTGCTTTGGGTTGTGGTCATTTCTGTCCATGATGTTCCCTCAGCTGTTTCACCTTGGCAGAGGAATCAAATTTCACCTCTGCAGTTATAATGAGCCAAGGATTTATTAAACAGCAATTAGGAATGTTCATTTGTAGAAGCTCAGAGACTTTTCTACCAGTTTGTCAATGCTATTTCTCTTATTATTTATTTTTTTTGTGAGGAGAAGTAAATTTCACACCTTTATGTCTTACATTCCCACCTCGTTAAAACCAGTCACTAATTAGTTCTTTAATCTTTTAAGCTTTTGTTATCCCTGTAATGAAAGCTGTTTTCTGGAATAAGTACTTACAGAGCTGAGACAACACCAAACTCTGTCATATAAGACAGCAAATCTTCACTCAGGCAGATTAAATTTTCTACTTTACTGTGACTTTTTGCCAACCTTTCACAGAAGTAATTTTGCTCAGGTGGCTGCTGAATTGAAAAGGAGATGTCCTGATGTCAATATTTGCTTTGTCCTTTGGCTACTGCCCCTCTTCCTTACACAGTATTGCTGATTTTTTTTATTACTTTTATTTTTTTTCTGAACTTTGCTTTCTTAGAAGACATCAGTTAAATAAATCAATAATGCTGACAGCTGCATTTTCACTCAGCCTTTCACCATCACTTATTATCATGACTCATGCATCTACCTGAATTGCACCCCAGCTACCTGAAAGATCAAAAAGTCGTAGATTAAATTAAATTTTTGAGAACTCCTGCATAAATCCACAGTGTTCTGGTCACAGGGGTCTTGTCAAACAGTTGGCAGGTTGGCAAACAAGTATCAGGTGTAGTTTGGGACCTACAAAATCACACAAGTAATGGAGCAATTCATGAATAACTTAAGGAGAAATCAACTTGGTTCCTCTCCCCTACTGCAGAAGTGGAACGAACATTATTCAAACAGAAACATAAATAGTCTCAGATTTTGGCCCAAAAAGAAAGGAACACAAACATTTCAGGAAGAAGATAAAGATGGAAATGATGTAAAATGAAAGCAAGGTTAGACACTGGGAGGTATCAATCAAAAATGTAGAGTGATATCTAGAAAACACTGTTATTTTACCTATTTTTAGCTCTTTCCTTGCATCAAAACAGAAAAATCTGTAAATCATAAGTATTTTACCATAATTATGTACCCCAAACAGAATGGAAGGTGTGGCCACTGAACAAGCACTTGGCAAAGGGTGGGCCATGGAAGCAAAGGGATGTTTGCAGAAAATTTCCTCAGAACTGAAGCCAGCAGCTGCCAGCTCCAGCTGAAATTCCTCATTATCAGTTCATACAGAACTTTATGGACTGGATAGAAAGAGTGGCCCTAACCCCATGAAAAAGGGTGAAATTAGAGCTGGCCCTGAGTGAGTTTTTCCCCAGATGCCCCTTTTTAACGAAGGAGCTTTTCCTTAGAGCTTTCCTTAATTCAGGCAAATAATCGAGGTTTTCCACCCACCTCAAAGAATGAAGTCCCAAACTTTTAAAGCAACACTTCCTGGCTTTTCCAGTCCCAAATTCCTGCACTCTTATCCATTTAGAAATCTTTGCAACAGCAACATAGGGCATGATTCAGAGCAGGAGGGGTTTCATGTCTGTTTTCCTTTGCTGTGGCAAGCAAGAGGAGACAGAGTTTTTATTCTTAAATAATAAGTTATTTAAAGCAGTTAAAAAATGCTGCTTTAGAGGTCCCAGCTAAAGAAAAAGAACTTTAACACCATTAAATCTCAGTTCTAGGGTGTCAGGTAGATTTCTCCTTTTGTGTTTCTCTATTAAGTACTATTTGCTTTTTATGAAATATTCTGGGCTGGACAAGATTTGGATTTATGTATATAAACATTCATTTGAGGTACTTTTTGTGATAAAATGCATCAGGAGTCTCCAAACTTGAAATTTGATCCCATCTCAGCAAGTCAGAGATATCTTCTGAAGTTTCCCACAGTAAAATACAGCATGATTCTTTAGGAAGCATTTCACAAAAAAAAATTATGCTTTCCTACTGAATGTGTTTAAAAAAAGGGAAAATTAAGGTTTTTTAGAGTACATAAACATGCAATTTATACTTTTTTGCTAATTAATACTCCATGGAGTGATGCTGTTCTGTGCATCCATTCTACACTAACAATGGGGTTCTTTTCCAGCTACAGGCAGCTGCAGAAAAAATCCATTCCCTTGGTGGTGATGCTGCAGGAATCAAGGAATCAGCTCTGAAAAAGCTGGAAGGAAGCTTGGTAGGAATTTTAACTGAAATGAGGAAATCAGCAGCTGATACTCAGCTCCTTTGTAGAACAAGGTCCCTGTCACCAGTTTTGGGACCAAATTCCCCTGTACCCCCTCTATGCCCCAAAAATTATGTCTGGAAAAAAATAATTCAGTGGTTCTGATGGCTCCATAGATGTTAATCCCTTCAGTTTTTCCCTGAGGGTTCTGTTCTCACCAAATCCATTCCTCTCCTCCAAGGCTGAAAATCCAGAGGTGAAAGCACTGCAAGAAAAGTTGAGCACAGCCAGCGGAAAAGTGACAGAATATCGAAACCAGCTGCAGAATTTGAAACAGGAACTGAAGCTGACCCAAAAGGTACCACTGCAGGGAGCAGTCTGGGGCTGGCACCCTTGCAGGAGGTTAAGTCTTGGGAAACTGGGGGGCTTTGGCCTTTGGTTGGCCCCCATGAGCTGTTCCAGTGGAGGAGGGAGCTGAGGAAGACACAAGGGTAGGGCTTGGGATTGAAATTGTGCTCCTGGACACAGGGATCTCATGTTTTGCCTCCCACTGTCCATTGGACACAAATCCTTCTGAGTTTTAAAGTCCCAGATCAGCAGAACTGTTTGTGACGTCCAGGTTCATTCCTCCTTTCCCATACATTTAATTATGTATTTACTTTTAATGTAGCTCCAATGCCATGGGAATCAATGAGATTCAAGGTCTTGCTTGAACTAAAGCATGTGTTTAAAGAGTTTGTTGGAATGACATCCAGAATAACCTTTTCCTCTGATTCATGATGGATTTAAGTGTTCTTATGTGCTCTGATTCTCTTTGGTTTCCCTACTTTGTGTAGGAGACCTGCAATGCAGATCAGAGTAGAGAATATGGTCCTAAAAATAGAGCTCTGCTGACCTTTTTATAAATAATTTAAATGCTCTTCATACTAAGTTTGGCTGTGTCAGAATTTTGCAAAGGAGATTGGTTCAATTCCTGGTGTGTATGAGGACAATACCTCTGCTCTGCTCCTGGTTAATTATGGGTAAATATTCATCCTATCACAAATAATTGTGGATATTGAAAACTGCTTGTGCTCCCTGTTAGAGAGAGCTGCTTTTCCTTCCTTCTCCCAAACACATCCTTTTAAGCCTTATTGTTGATGTCAATCCCTTTTCCCAGATTTTAGCCAAAGAAGTTGGGGAAGATGTGAATATCCAAAGTCTCTTGACCAATTCTGGCAGCTGGCGTGGGCGAGCTCAGCAAATTGTCCTTCTCCAAAGCAAGGTGAGTTACAGCCCTGCACAGTGGCTGGAACACATTTCAGCTGGAATTCTCTTTCTAAGTACAGATATCACCTCCAATTAAGGTAAAAGTAATGTTGGTTCTTCATTAATTCTTAACATCTCTCTGTTGATGTGTGCACACCATGTTAATGACTCTGCAGCCCTGCAAGCTTTGCTATTTCAGCTGGGAATCTTTCACATCTGTGTCAAAGGAAGGAGTTCAGTGACCTTGGAGAGCTGTGGCAGCCCAGTTCAAGTCCCAGGGTGTTTTGAAGGTGCTTCTCTCCACTGAGAACAGAAGGAGCCCTGTCAGTGTCTGTGCTCTGACTTAGACACCTTTGTTCAGTGCTTGGAGTCAGATGGGAAGAATTGAGGCCAGATCAGGTTTTCAAGTTGTTCCCTCAGGAGCTTCAGTAAAATCTTTAACTCTTGAGTCTTCTGAAGGGCAGAGTTTAGCTGAAATGTCAGCAGGAGGCAGGGAGGCAGTTTTGTCTGCATCTAAATAAAACTTCTCTCAGGCAATTTTATGTGTAATTTTCCTATTTTCCTGCTGTTCAATTATATGCCATCAAACTGATTTTTTTTTTTTTTTGCATTTTGACTGAGATTTTTAACCTCTGCTTTCCCTTGAGCAAATTCCCTTTCCCCCTGTTTTATCCCTGCCTGGGGTTCATCTGACCACTGTTCCTACTGTTCTCTGCTCTAATGTGCAGATTTCTTTCTGATCCAGACTCCTCAGGCCCCTTCTGTAGTCAGTGGGGATCTTGTAAATCCAGTCACTGGATCAAAAGTGAGGCAGGTTCCTCCAAAGCAGGGCAGAGGAACTGAGCTGTGGAAGTGCCCAGTTCCTTCCACTGACTCTGAAAGCAGCCTGCAGTGAGCAATGGACAGCTGAATTCCCTTGCATTCACACAGCAGCAATTCCAGTGCTCTGGAGTGCCTGTCTGGCTTCCAAATGTGGCTCCACAAAGGCACTGATCTGCCATGTGTCCCACATCTCCATCCTGCACAGATGCCCTAAAATCTGGATGTTTATTAGCAGCTAAATTTCAGTTTGAAAGACCAGACACTGCTAGTGTCTTAGTTAACCATGAAAATATCAAGCAATAATCTGAGCTGCCTTTGGCTGTGTCCTCTTTGCCCTGTGCCCCTGGTGAAGCTCTGGGTGAGTTGTCATCATTGTGCCATAGGTTCACGAGCTGGAGCATAAACTGAATCAGCAAAAGATCAGAACTTCACTGCTGGAGATGGATGAGGGACTGCTGGCATTTCCTGATCCAAGGAAATTGTCAGTCCAAGAGAAGAACTTGCTGAAGATTCGCAGCTTGGAGAAAGAAAAGAAGGAATCTCTGGAGGTAGAATCCTGTGAGCTGACAGAGTTCTGTTTGGGTGTGGAGCAGTGTGTAATAGCTTGTTCTGCCTTCAGGGTGTGTTGCACCCTACCTAAAACCATTTCATAAACCCACTTGGTCTGGTGGAGGAAGCTCTGCCCCACTTCACAGCCAAGCCCTGCTACAGCTGCACCCAAACTCCTTAGCAGCCCTCTCACCCCTTGGCCAGGTGTGCATTCTTCATCCCAAATACAGACATCCCCTCACACTCCTGGATCTGCAGGGCTCTGGGCTTCTCCATTTCAACAGAATAATGGAGAATCAGAATCCAGAATAATAGAGAATCTACCCAGACCACCTGAATTCCTGAGCAGACAGACCCTTTTTGGATGTTGGCAAGCAGGCAGCCAGTAGCATTTATAATTTCTATTTCCTTAGGAATAATACAGTATTCCAGTCCCATTTTTTAGATTCTACCAGGTAATGTGTGATTCTTTTTGCTCACCACAGCACTTGAGGCTTGGTGATAAGTTATAATTTCATTTCCTTTTACATCACTGCAGAAACTCTCTGAGCAACACAACACTCTCCAAAAAAACCACGAGGAATTGAAAAAAAAACTTGATGCCTCAAGAGCCAGGAACCAAATGCTGTGTGGAGAAGTGAAGATGCTGAAGGGCCAGATTGGAACCTTGCTGGAGAAAGGGAAACACGATGATGAGCTCATAGATGCCTTGCTGGTACAGTCTGTGTTGGCCCCAGCCCTGTTCTATGGGTGATAAAACATGATGTCCTTCCATGGCACACACAGCCTTAGGGTGTGCAGGAGCCTGATGGATCCAAGTGTGACAGCCAGAGGTTCTCCTGTCAGCTGAAGCCCTCCTGCATTTGGGATCAGGTCCTGTAAGGGCTGTGAGACAGCACCAGGTGTGACAGTGACAGCCAAGTGGCCCTGAGCTGCAGGAACTGCAGAAATATTTTGCAGAAGGATTGAAGTAGGTAGAGGAAGGGCTTCAGTCCTGACCCAAGGCCTGTGTTCTTTGTTCTGCTTTCAGCTCCACTGGTAGATTTTTTTTTTCCCTTAAAATGCCTGCAGTCCTGGAGGAATTTTTTGTTTGTAACAAAACTTCCATTTATTTTGTTACACAGCCCACCACACACAAGCTGAACCATGAGCACTAAACCATGTGCACACTCACCTGCAGGAGCTGAGAGGATTTGGCCTCTTCAAAACCAAGAGTTTTAACAAAGGCTCAAAGATGCTGAGAAAGAAATAAATGGCTCCTGTCATGGTCCTGCCATGGTTTTAAGCAGCCTTCCTCAATTAAAATAGCAAATTTATTAGAGATAGAAATAAATTTATACACCACCTCCTAGCAGGGTTAATTCTGTGTTTCCTGATCCAACTCCTCACTAGTTTCAAACCGCTCAGATTTCCCTGCTGCTCTGGGTAGGTTTTAGCTCAGCTGGCATTCACCCTTCTCCCACCAGGCCCTGTGGGTGCTGACCAGCAGATTAGGGGTGCCAAAGAACACTTGTCACTTTCTCTGAGCATTCCCACTAAAATTAGTACAGAAAGATGCAAGTTTATTTGGGAAGGGATGGTTAATCTCTTTTATCCCTTCTATCACAAAAGCACTTTACTTGCAGGTTGCTGGCCTGACAAAACAAACTGCCTGACAGGTATTAGATTTGTCAGTGTGGAAAAAAACCTCCAAAACTACTGGTGAAGCAGCCTGGCCTCATATCTGTCACCCCACAGTACCCTCAGCTTTTAATATCACTATCACAGGATCTGATCATGTTCTAATTCCACAAAAAGCACATTGAAATCTTGAGTTTCATTCAGTTTATGGAAAAAAATAACTTCTTTATCAAAGGCCAGCCTTTCTTGTTCTGTTTTCTGCTACACTGAGCAGCAGAGCTGGCAGCAAATTGAATCTGAACATTGCTCAGGTTAACATAACAAATCAAATTGCCAAAGTGACACCAGTGACACCAGTGTGCTCCCACCAAGGAATGGGCTTGGCAGGGCAGGGGCTTGCCCTACCATTCCTAAATGGATATTTGTCTTGGGGAGGTTTAAAATAATCATTGTGGACCAAATAATATCTCACCTGTTTCTATTTTTACTAGAGCCAGCAGAAGCAAATGCAGGAGATTTTAAAGGGCCTGAGCCAGAAGACGGGTGAGAACAAGGAGATGATGGACCCTGAGATTCAGAATCAAAGCACCGTGATAGATGAGCTCAGGCAGGTGGTGGCTGACAGAGAAGCAAAGGTTAAAACTCTGGAGGAGGAGATCGGGCAGCTCACACATCAGGTAGGCAAACAAATTAATTAGAGGAGCACACTTGGTGATCACCTCAGATCTGCTCTTCCACTTCCTTGTCCCTTGTTATCTGACATGGTCACTGCCTCCAGACAGTGATCCCTGTCCTGCTGACAGTCTTTCCTGATAGAATGATAAAGCAGGAATTCTCTTTTGTGACTCCTCAGTTCCTTTGTGCATAACTTGAGGCTGTTTCAGCAGCAGCAAACACAGAAATACCAATCACATCCACACATGGGCCATGTCAGGACTGTCACTGGCTGACAGCAGGACTTGGGGCTGCCCTGGGGACTCCTCAGTGCTCAGCACCTTTGGCTGCTGGAAGAAGGAAGCAAACAAATGTGTCACACCAGCATCAGCAGCTGCTGCTGTCTCACAGGCAGGAATTGTGAAGAGTATTTAGACATCCCATTCTCATTGATCCAAAACCCTCCTGGCGTTGGTGAGGTTGTGAATCTCCCAAATACCTCAGGAGTGGGGGCTGGAGCATTGAACCCAGGATCAAACCTGGGTTAGGGACACAACCCACAGTGCAGCAGCATCACTGCCAGCTCAGTTGGTTTATTAATGCACTCTGATTTCATATAAAACTGCCCTTTTTACTGACTTCTGCTTTGTTTTCATCCTGCAATGGATGGGAATTAAAGCAAAGCTTCTGAGAAGGCCCTGTAAATCAAAAGTTCTGGCTGGCTTCTAGCAATAATCAAAAGCTGCTGCTTTGGCATCGGCGCAGCTGTTTTCCTCTGAACTATGTAATTGTTTTACAACATGCTCCACCATTAACAGAAGAAATCTGCCCATCCATAGGACAAGTCAGGAGCTGCTCATCCACCACCCTCTGAGCACTCAGGATCACCTGAGGCTGGAAGGACAGAATCTGCCCGGTAAGATCAGAAAGTCAATATTTCAAGTTGTTTGAGTAATCCAGGAGCTTGCTTTTCCCAGGGAGTTTCATCAAACCACAAGTGCTTTGTGCCAACAGCTGTGGCAGCCTGTTTGCAATATATGGGAATCTCTAATCACATTATCTCTTGGACTTTTGTCCTGGAACTGAGAAGGATGTACAGACTTGTAGACATGACTAGATTTGGCATGGTGGTGGTGCAGCTATTTCTCCTCCTGCAGCTCAGCTAATGTTTATGTGGTCAGCTTAAGTGCCTGGGAATCTTTTCCCTTGTGAGACACGGGGCTTCTAAGGAGCAGATTTCTGTGAGCAGGGTGGGGAATGAAGGCAAAGTGCCATTTTAGGTAAGCACTAAATCACTGGTGCATTGTTTAAATCAATAAATGTTCTTTGAGGAGGATTTACATGCAAAAATGTTGAAAACACACCACATCATTTGTTCTTACCAAACACCCTCTTTAAAGCCTCACTCAGGACTGTGTAAATTACACTAATCTTAGTGCAGCAATAAATCTGATTTGTGTTTACACTGATGTGACTCTGGGTCACTCTGGCTCTGTAAAGGGACCATGCTACCACAGCAAGTTATATCCTTTCCTGTTAAATTGCTGCTAAAGAGTTCATGGTCTAATTGATAGTGAGGATTTGAGACTGGTCTGATGGGGATGGGGGAAATTTTTCATCAAGATAAAGTTACAACTGATCTCTTCTGTGTAATTTCCTACCTCATTACTTTAGACACCCAATTTGGCTTTAAAATCAGCTGAGTATCCCTAAGTAGAGCATTACTATAAAATTTAAGAAGAATTTTGTAGTTTTGAGTTAGAATTAAAATATCTTTAATTTGAAAGTTTCTGCACCCTTCTGACTGTGTTAATTCTACCCCTTCTAACTCTGCAGAAATTGCTGTGCTCTCCTGGAGCAAATCTATATTTTATCCCCCTTTTTTTTTAACCTCACATGTCTGCTGATGGTAAGCAGGAACCAAAGCTGGGTAATGGCTTTGTGGAAACCACTAAGTGCAATGCATAAATTATTGCTTGTGTACAGGGCCAAGGGCTCTGTTGCAGAAAGAGCTGACGTGTCAGGTGGGCAATGAATGATCCTGAAAAACTCTGAGAGCTGTTAATAATATGGCCAGCAAGGCTCCTTCCTTCTGTTAACTTTAATATGCTGATGAACTCTCAATTCTGTTTGGCTGTAGTGAATCATCTTTTCCTATCAGAAAAGGTGCAATGAAAAACTCTATAAATAGATGCTAAACCTTTTGGAGATGGCAGAGTGAAAATCTGCATTTTTAGACTGGGCCAAGGCTGTCAGTATGAAACTTAAGTTGATTTTAGGATTAACCACTCCTAGCCCAGAAGGCACATCTGTCACTTCCACAATTCTTAGGCTTTATCCTCTTGTTAGCTACAGCTAAAGTAAGGAAATGTGGGGTAAGTTGGCCGGGACTTGGCTTTGGGCAGCTGAATTTGTGTTGAGGAAATGAACACCCCCAAGCAAATACCTCCTGAAATGGGGTGTCCCAAACACACACACCAAAATCTGGTGTCCCATACAAACACACACCTAAATGGGATGTCCCAAACAAGCACACACCTAAATGGGATGTCCCAAAACAAGCACACACTGAAATGGGAAATGGGATGTCCCAAACAAGCATACACCAAAATCTGGTATCCCAAACAAACCCACACTGAAATGGGATGTCCCAAACAGACACACCCCTAAATGGGATGTCCTAATCAAGCACACATCATTATACATAAAACTCATCCAGGCTGGCAGTGATACTCCAGTGTTATCAGCTGGCTCCTCCTCTTACAGCAGTGAACCTGACAGACCTTCCTGAGGGTTTCCACAAAGCAGGTTTCATAGAGCTGTGTGAAATACATAAATCTGTGTGAAATATACATTTTAAAGGGCATTGGGAAATCCAAGTTGTGCCCTGCATTGCAGAGCAGGGGTCACTTTGTTAGGAAAATCTGGGACATGCAAACCCCATCAAACTGCACAGAGCTGGGATTGCCTCTCCCAGTGCTGGGTGAAGGTGTGAGGTGAGGGAGCTCTTCCCTACAAAACACAGGCATTGGGGAAGGACTGGAATTTTGGGAAGACTGCCCTGTGTGAAGCCCTAACCCAGCTTTCCTGCCCCCAGCACAGTGTCCGCGATGGGCCACGTGCTCGTGGAGTCAGCAGCCTCAGAGCCTTTCTTCCTCATCCCACCTGCAAGGTGGGTACATAAACTTCATTATCACTAAGGAAAGTGCTCTGCCATGCTCTGCAAGCTGCTGGAAATCCTTGTCTTGCTTGCCTTGTTTCTGTAATGAAAGCTTCTTGCACCATTCCTCTTAGCTGAAGCTGTCCAAGAGCTCTAATATCTGATTTCTCTCTTAATTCTGTAATTGACTGCTTGTTTGACATCAATTTTTTTCCATTTTTGCTCCCAACCACAAAGATTTCTCCTGCTTTTTTTTTTTTTTTTTTTTTGTTCTAAAGAAGGTCTTCCTGAAAGCAGAGAGGTCAGAGAAGTAATGAACTACATAATAATGGGATGCATGGGAAAACTGCCCCTTCCTTTCAGCACATTTTGGCCACAAGAAGAGCCATTGTGCAAGTGCTGCCTGAAGCCTTTCAGAGGGAGAAAATCAATAGCAGGACATTTAATAGTTTAGTGTAGCACTTGGGAGATAGAATCTCCTTTTACTTTGGCAGTAGCAGTGAGAGGAGAGTCAGGGATAATGAATTGATCAGAGTTGGAAGTTTGTTTTCAGGGGTGACGGGGAGGGGAAGCAATCTGGAAGCAGCTTTTTAATGACACTCCCAGTGACTTTATAGCCAAATATTTCTGTTCTATTTCTTGCAGTCTAGAGATGGGTGCTGGGGGGAGGTAGTGAGCCTGGCTCTGCATTCTGCCTTCACCTTCAGACAAGTGTATTGGAGATAGTGCTCCAATCCTGCCTTTGTTTCATTCCTTTCATTCCAGAGGTGGGAACCAGGCTCTCTGTGCTTGTGCTTTCCTCAGGTCTGCTGGCACGGACAGCTTGAGCTGGGAAGCGCTGCTGGGAGAGCTCATAGCACAGAGGCTTCTGTGCCAGCCTGCTGAAGAGGAGAGGGAAAAGCTCCTGGAGCTGGTGGCTGTGCTGCAGCAAAGGTACAGCCTCATCCTGCCAGCAGCATCCTCTGTGGGCTGCTGGGATCAGGGAGCACTGCAGAGTCTGGGACGTGCACTACAGTGCATCACACGCTGCCATCCTTGCCTTAAATAGGGGCTTTTCAATTTCATTCTGCTCAATTTCCCTGCCTGGCTGATGATTCATTCTTTTTCTTATTCTTTTAGAACAAAGGGCAGAAAAAAATGGAGCCATCTTCCAGCTTGCTGCACCTAGATAAAACCAGAATTGCTGTATTTATGTATGCATGGCTTTATTGAGGCAGCAATATTATTCATCAGTAGTAAATACTGTAATTATTGTTATAATATTCTCTTCTAAAGCTTTTCACATTCTTTTTAAGTTTCATTGTATCCTTTTCTAAATGAATTTATTCTGGTTTAACAGAGGCATAGTAGTGATTTTTTTTTTAATTTTGTTTTCTATGATTCAATTCAATGTAAGATGATAAAAGCCAACCATGTTTTAGGAGAGAAGGGAAAGCAAAGTAATTTTTTTTTTTGACACCTTTCAGCCACTGTTTTTTTTCCCAGTATGTGTTATTTGATTCCCAAATCTGTATTCCAATATTGGAAGTATATTCCTGTCTGTGTGCTTGGCAATACAATAAGCACTGTTTGCTTACTTGCTTTAATTTACCACAGTTATCATTCTCACTTGTACAACTTTTGTCCTGCATGATTAATCACAGTCAGAAAAAAATAGATTTTTTTTTCTTTTAGAACTGTGGAAAAGGTGCTTTTAAAGCTAAATTCTGGAAATACATGCTGGGAAAAATCTTTCTCATGTTTGTAAGCCCAGTGACTTTAATAGAGCTGTGCAGTCAGAGGAGGATGGGGCTGTGAGTGGTAACTGAAGTGTGGCCACCACCAATATGGGATAATGAAAAACAGAGTCAATGAAATGCACAATTGCTTGTAAAATGTGCCATAAAGTGATGATTCAGCAGCTCCACAGTTATCACACATTTATCAAGCAGGTAACATAAATTTTGTGAGACTCTGTGCAATAACTCTTGGAAGACCTCAGGGTAATATAGCACCAGTCAGATCTCAACGTGAATGTATTTTTAAAAATCAGGTTTTCCTCCTCTTCCCTCCACTGCTGGGCTGTAACAAAGTTCAGGTAACACAGATAATGCTTACATCAAGAGATGAGCCCTGGGAATTGTTACAAGTGGGATTTTTCTACAGCATTTTAGTTTAAATTATTCCTATTGGCAGATGATTCCATTAAAAAATCCCACAGATCTTGCCATTTTTCCTCCAGTTTTTGTGCAAAGTGGATGCCAGAGGAACACCAGGGTCAAATGAAAGTTTAGTGAATGCAGAACCACTGAGAGGAATAAAATGTCTCAGAGCACATCACCAGCCTGGGAATTCACTGCCACAGGAGGTTGAGTCTTGCCTGTAGCTACATTTTTAAACCAGTGATATAATTTTATTAGAGTTGTAATAATTTAATTTTTTTTTAGTTATGCCAGCTAGGAGGGAAATAAACTAATCAAGTCTCTTGATTCAGAGAGTAACCAGCTTCCACCCATGGGGTCAGAAGGGAAATTCTCTTTTCCAGTCCAATCCAGTGAGTCAATCTGGGCTTTTTTTTAGCCTTAAACTCCTTGGAATCGCTTGGTGTCAGTCACTGCCCCACTGGCAGCATCTGTTGGGTGCACATCAGATTTTTGCAGTTCATTTTCTGAGATGTCATGCAGGATGGAGAGAGGCAGTTTGCTTTTTTTGTGATGTAAGCACCAGTTTCTTTTCCACCCTCTCCCATCCATGGTTATGTCTATTAATGTTTATTAAAAGCAGAAGTTTCTTTTCTTCCTCTCAGATAACTGACGCAAATGTTAGACTGTGTTTTTATAAACTATTTGCCTTCCAAGCTTTCCCAGAGTGACTGAAAAATTCAGTTTATTATTCCTCAGCAATCTGCAGCTTCCCTGCTCAGTTGAGGGGTAAATTCACACAGGGAGCCAGAATTAAGGGATCTGAGCAAACAAACCCATTGTTTCCAACTGTACTCATTAGTTAATTCTCTTTTGCATATTTAGAAGAAGTCACCTGATGCAATTTTCACTGGGATTTCTTACTTTAGATGCATGGAAAATTCTTTTCCTTCTGTTGAAAAAAGCAGGATTTAGTACCAAGACAGATTTGACATAGACATGACACAAATGAGCTGAACTCTTTTTTTAATTTTTTTTTTTGCCTCTCAGGGTGGAAGAAAGCAGTGACAAAGCCTTGGAAGCTGAGAAGAAGCTCCAGGAAGAGCAGTGGCTGAGTGACAGCCTGGAACAGCAGCTGGGAAAGCTGCAGGTGGATCCAGAGAGCAGCACAGCTGCCCAGGAGCCTGCCCTGAGGAGCAGAAAAGGTAAAGGGAAGCCCTCAGCTGTTCTATTTGTGGGGTGCCCCGTGGCAGGGAGGAATGATGGATCTGACTCCATGTTCTCAGAAGGCTAATTTATTATTTTATGATGCTATATTATATTGAAGGCTAATTTATTATTTTATGATACTCTATTATATTAAAGAATGCTATACTAAACTATACTAAAGAATACAGAAAGGATACAGACAGAAGGCTAAAAAGATAATAATGAAAACTCCTGACTCCTTCCAGAGTCCTGACACAGCTTGGCTGTGATTGATCAATGAGTGAAAACAACTCACATGAAACCAATGAAACTAAACAATGTCCAAACACATTCCAAAGCAGCAAAACACATGAGAAGCAAATGAGATAAGAATTGTTTTCATTTTTTTCTCTGAGGCTTCTCAGCTTCCCAGGAGAAAAATCCTGGGCAAAGGGATTTTCCAGAAAATAGGAATGAGGAATGCACCCTCAGCCACAGCCACATCCCCTGTTTCACCTCTGGCCTTTACAGACAGTGACAACACTTGGGCTCCACTGCCAAACCCAGCCCAGTGCTTGACCTTGCACGTGGTGATGGGACCTGCTCAGAGCCAGCAGCAAGGCAGGAGGCAAAATCCTGGCTCTTCTTCACTGCAGAGGGTTTTCCTCCAGGTCTGAGGGGGACCAGGATTTTTGCAGTGTGTTTCTATGGGATAATTCCAGGGAAAAAAAAGCTTTTCCCTGCTCTGTGCTGCCCCCAGGCCCAGAGCTCCTTTTGCACTCGTGCCTGAGGGATTCAGCTGAAGGTTAAGAGCAGAATTAAAGGACATATCCCAATTTAAGGCCTGTCAGTGCCTATGAAAAACTATTGCTGGTGATGAAGTAATTAGATCTGGTGTAATTTATTATCCCATGAACGTGATAATCTCCTGCTATAAATATGAAAGCCTCCCTGGCGTAGTTAAAGAAGAAGAATTCATGGTGGGTGTTAAATTTTTATTTCCCTGATCAGATCCTTTTATTGCTTAAGGACTCTGATTCTGTAAAATGTCTAAACCAATAAAATGGCACATATTCTTAAGGAAAATTTTCCAGTGGTTTCCCTTTTTATGTGCATTTTCATAAAGTAAAAAGACTTCAAATGCCAGAAGATGAACAGCAGGGAGGGGAATTTCAATTTGGCAAATGTTGGGGTGGTGTCAGGCTGAGTTAGGGTGACCAGAGGGACCACAGGGCTCATCAGAAACCTTGGATGAGCCCTTCAGAGGAGCCTTTATACTGAGTGGGGACTGAATGGGTGCTCCTCTCTGTACAAGATGGATTTGTTTCCTTAGAGCAGGATTGCTGTGTCCTGGGAAGGGGCTCCAGCCCACACTGACTCATTCTCTTGTGGTTTTTTATGAGCACTGATTCCTAGAGTTGTCTCACCTGTATTAGCTGAGAGCAGAAAAATGTAGATCCCAGAAGTGTGGGAGCATTTTGGTGCTGTTTGGTACAGAATTTAACTGGGTTTCTGAGTGCTCAGACTTTTACACAACCTGGTGAAGTGTTCATGTGTTCTGTTATCAAATCTTCCCCTTGCAAGCTCCAAGAGAGACAAACTCTCCAGGTCCTGAGGCTTTTTGGTCAAGTTTTGTTGTGCTGTAGTAAAGTTTTAGTAACTCCCCTCTGCTGGCTGGCATTTCATAGCCAGAGGAAGAAGCTGTTTTCACTAGTGACAGATCCCTTCTCACTAAATATTTAGTTCATTAATCTCCTCTGCTTAAGGACTAAAAGCAAAAGTAGAAAAGGATTGGCAGTAAGGCTAATAAGGAGAAATCCTCTCTAAATCCATGAGATGAGTAGGTAACAATCTATTTCACTCCCTTGCTTTGATGAGAGCCTTGTGATGTGCCAAAACTGGAGTTTGTACAAGAACCAAGTCTGTAGTACACCTCTTCAGCAGAACATGGAGGTTATCTCAATGCTTTCATGTCAGTGGTTGAGGAAATAAGAAAAAATGAAAAGCTTGAATACAAAACAGAGACTAGAGAACCTGCTAATTAACATAATATTTTCCTTTCTTTCTGAAAGTACAAAATTGTAGAGAGCTGATCTAATTGCTAGTTTAATGTTTCTGGCCCCTTCAATTCAAGGGAAGTAGATAATGATGCTAAGGAGCTGCAAACAACCCAGTCGTGTTTTTAAATCATTCAGGCTTTTCATTTTCTGTGCTTTTGTTCCTGTTTTATCCAAATTCCAAATTATCAAAGAATAATCCCAGAGGAGGGATAGGTAAGTAACACCAGGATTTCCTCAGCCCTGTAAAGCACAGTCTCAAGATCAAAAGCATTTTTTAGCTGTACAATGCAGCCTTTTCTTCTCATTTGTTTTTGTCAGAGTTCAGTACTCTCTACTCTCCAACCAGGCTCTTTCAGATAATTCCACACGAGGAGGATTTAGTGTTTTAATACCAAATTTGGAGATATTTGATGTTATGAGGGATATGAATTGGGAAAAGGGATACAGAAATGTGCCAAGGTGACAACACAAGCACAAACCAGCAATTGCAGTGTACAGCAGGAGCACAGCACAGATTCCAGCCTGGCTGTTCCCTGTCCTGGTGCTGGATTCCCAGTTACAAGGACTGCAGCCAGCTCCAGCCTCTTCTTCTCTTCATTTAGCTGCTTTCTTGATTTTTATCATTTATTTTGGGCTTATCCACACAAATCCTTCCCCCATGTCACCTTGCTCCAGGTAGGTAGTGCTGGCTATTGATTATTTTAGAAAAAGCCATTTATTGACATCTACTAAAATGATTCAGCCTTCTGTCTACAGCAGAGACCACCCTGCAGTCCCTCAGGGCTGGGATGAGTTCAGCATCCTCTGCAATAGCTGTGCTCCCTTCCTGCACTCCTTTCTGAGCTCCCTGAACCCTTCTCTGCTCCACCTTCCACTGCAGGGATTCACTGGTCACAGGTTTTGCTTCTCCAGTCCCAGCTGTAAATTTGAATTATATGTTTCTCTATAACCCTGAAAAAAGTTTCTGATTTTTTTTGGGATGAGCAGAACTGCATGTTTTGGGTAGACTTTGATTTAGGAAAGCATTCCTGAGTGAGAACCTTGATTTGAAGTTCACCTTGAAGTACATTTAACCCCTACATTTTGTTTATGCTGAGGACCAAAGTGCTTTACAAAAGTTGTTTCAATGGGTGCCACGTGCAAACTTTGTCCCAGACATTCAGGAAGCAACAGCTGTCATAATCTGAAACACAATTACAAGATTAATATCAAATCAATCCTTTTCAGCTGTTTGTGACCTCTTGTTTTGGTCACTTCAATATTTTGAATTCATTGTTTTCCTCCCTACATATGTAGGCATGTATTTAGCCCAGAAACATAAATTCATCATGTTTTCATTTTGCTGGGAGGAAATTAAAATAATTCTGTCATATATTTATGATATATTATGGATGTAACATAGAATTTAGGAGATTAAATATTTATTTAAGAGATTAAGTACATTATTTGAGAGAATAAATTCAGGTTTTTTTGACACTGACTCAGCATGCTGCCAAAACTGATTTGCTGTTTCACTAAAACTCCATTGTGTGATTGAATCTACAGCCCAGCCCAGCCTCCCCTTGCATGTGAATGACAGAGAGGAGCTCTCTGCATCCCTGTCTGAGCTGCCCCTGGAGTCTCAGGTGGAGGAGCTGAGCAGGAGGTATGTTCTCCCTTTCTCCATGCTGGGATTACCCTGTCCTGCCTCAGGAGGGAGAGGAGGAGCAGGTGCTCAGTTTGCTCTTTCTCAGGCCTCTGGGTTTCATTGTTTTTTCCCCCAGAACACAGGTGACTGTTCTCAATTTGCTTTGAAGCTCCCCAGCTCACAGGGAGGTTTTTCCTTTTGTTTCCTTGCAGGCTTGGCTTCCAGATGGATGAGAACAAAAGTCTGAAGGCTGCTCTGAAGGAGACTGTGACAGCCAAAGGGGAGGATTTTTAACTGCACCAAGCCACAGTGGAGGAAGTGAGGGATGGGTTTGCAGAGGCTGTTCAGCCCCACACACCAAAGAGTTCATCCAGATATTCCCAGTCCTTTGGGCTGCAGAGCAGGGGCAGAGCCCAGGCACCAGTGTCATTTTGCAGCCTCAGATCGTGTCATTTCTTCAGCTTTTGCAGGAGAGGATGAGAAACAGAGATGAAATACAAAAAGTGAAGGTTTTATGTGTCAGCAGTTTGTGGCTCTGAGGCTTGGCAAGCAGGGCTGGTGGGTGTAGTTTGGGAATTCTGCAGGGGGATTTGGGACAAAACCTTCCAGGTTTCAGCACAGTGTTCCCTGGGAGGGCTTGATATTCAATCTGCTGCTGCCTTTATCAGCTCAGGAAGGAATTTGCTGTACAAAAGTTAGACCAGCCCCCTTCCTTAGAACAAAACAAGCTCTGTTTTTATCCCACACTGCTACCTGCCTGTCTCAGGCTTTCTGTAGCACTTCAGTGCTCAGGCACAGGATTAGCCTGACCTGGGACTATCTGCAAATCAGCTCTGGGTGGGCTCCTCTCATCATTCCAGCCTCTTTCTTTGCTTGAACATGCAGCAGTTTTCTAAAACTCCAGTGAGTTTCCACTGAAGAGCTGTGCAGATTACCCCTGCAATGAGTCAACCTACCTTCAATTCAGCTCATTCCATAAAAAACTTGCCATCCAGGTTATGAATTCCCTGTGTCTGGGTCTCTGCATTCATCTGTCAGGCAGATCTTGTTCTCCCTGGGAAGAAATGTTATAAAATGCAGGCAGCTCTTCACTGCAGCAGTGCTGGGACTTTTGGAGCTGCTGCAAACCCTGGCAGCCCTGTCCTCCTCTGCTGCAGCACAGTGAGGACACAGAGTGCAAGCTAATCAGGCATTGCCATGCAGCCTGCCAGTGCAGAGCAGCCTTGGGGATTCCAGGCAAATGGAGAGCCAGGCATTTTTGTACAGTGCTGCTTTGTTTCTCACTTGAAAGTCTTGAAAGCTTTTCTTTATTCCCCTTTGCTTTGTCAGCCTCTTTTTATGAGCTTCAACTTTGTCAGGTTTTAACCCCAGCCAGCTGCACCAGTGCAAAGTGGATTTTTGGGCATGAAAACCACTGCTCCCTTCCCCAGCACAGGGATTTCATCCTGACCCCCCTGTGCAGAGTGGAAAAAAGCAGAGCAGGAGTCACTCCAGATGTGTTGTCCCTGTCTTTTTTTTTTTTTTCCTGTTTAGGTTCAGAAATGTCTCTCTTCAAGAAATGTTTCTTTTTAAACAGTTTTGGAGGAAGTCAGGGAGCTGGGGATAATCTGGGAGTTAGCAGGGAATTAACCCTCTCTGTGCTCATGAGGCTGCTCCACTGCCCTGGAGCTCAGCCCAGCTCTCAGGGCCCTCTCTCACAAAAAGCAGGACCATCCATTGCAATATTTTTCCTGCCAGTATCATCAGAGGAAAAAGCATCTTGTAACCCTCAATCATCTCTGGACAACTTGAGGGATAAATCCTGGGTTGAAAGGAGCCACAGCTTTGGTTTCTGCTCCATCCTGATGTCTCTGTAGAGGGGAGGAATCCTCTGATGGGGATTTTAAGGACCTGCAGGAGGGAGCAGATCCCTTGGAAAAGCTGCCTGAGCAGGAGCAGGGCTGTGGGAGCTGTGCTGTGCAGTGGCTGCTAAATTCAGGCTGGAACTTGGAGCTGCAGGTTCTGATTTCACTTACACAGGAGTGTGAATCAATAATATTTTCCCAGGAGCAGAGCAGATGCATCTGCTGCCCTTCCTTGTGCCCTGGCCCATGGAAGCTGTGAAGACCAAACCTCTCTCCAGGAAAAGGGCTCTGAGTCAGCCCCTGAAGCACAGGGAGGAAGCTGGGATGTCACAGAACACACATGGCTCTCCTGCAAACCTCTTCTCAAGTGCTGCAACACTCATTTCTTTAACCTTGTGCTCGTTTGGTGCTGCACAGAAGCATTTTCTCCTTTTTTTCTGCACCACCAGATGCTTACCAAAGAAAGAGCCCAACCACTATAAAGCAATTTATTTAGGCAGCCTGTACCTGTAAGCAGCTGCTGCTCATGGAAATGTGCAATCTGTCTCCTGTCAGAGTGGGGAGTGCAGAATGTCCAGGGCTTCTCAGGATTTTGAAATGCACTTCCCCAGAGTGACCTGGCTTGAATTCTCCCTGTGCTGGTTCTTGCTGGTTCCCAGTTTTCAAAGGATGAGCCCAATTTTCTTGCAGCATTTTGCTAAATATAAGAAGCCCTGGCAGACCATGGGAGCAGCAGCCCCCTGCCCATCACTCAGAGATCAAAACCAATGACAATATTTTTCTCTCTGCCTGAAAAATCCCCACACTGGAGATCCTCAGCCCCAGGATCTCTCCAGCACACATTTCTTTCAGGGATACAGCTGATGTGAAATCACCACAAGCCTCTGCTTCCCTTGGAACTTTCAGTGGTTTGTTTTGGTTATTTTTTCCCTCATGGATAAACACCAGCCTGTTAAAATCCCATGTTTCAGTTCAAATTTGAATTTCTCTAGCTCCAGTTTGCAGCCAGCCATCTATTTGTCTCTCTGGCTCTTCCTGGTTCCCAGTTTTCAAGGAATGAGACCAATTTTCTTGCAGCATTTTGCTAAATATAAGAAACCCTGGCAGGCCTTGGGAGCAGCAGCCCCCTGCCCATCACTCAGAGATCAAAACCAATGGCAATATTTTTCTCTCTGCCTGAAAAATCCCCACACTGGAGATCCCCAGAATCTCTCCAGCACACTTCTGGATTTCTTTCATAGATACAACTGACATGAAATCAACACAATCCCCTGCTTCCCTTGGAACTTTCAGTGATTTGGTTTGTTTTTTTTTTTTTTCCCTCATGGAGAAACACCAGCCTGTTAAAATCCCGTGTTTCAATTCTAATTTGAATTTCTCTGGCTCCAGTTTGCAGCCAGCCATAGTTTTGCCTCTCTCAGATAAAAGCACTCTGAGTCGCCAGCATTTCCTCCCTGGGACAACCCTCATCCAGTGAGAAGTCATGTCCCAGGCAGCTTTTTGATAAGCTCTGAGTTTTTTCAGCCTCTCACTGCAGCTGATGGTGGTGACAGGCTAAAGGTGACATCTCTGGCACAGGCTGGTGGGTACAGTTAAAGTTAATTTTACTGCCAGTATTTAGTTATGGGCACTCCTTGCTAGGATTTGGGCAGTTCCTAACTCCAAATATGAGTTCTCCAAACACTTGGGGAACCAAAATCTGTCTCCTGGCCTGGAGCTGGGCAGAGCTCTTCCATGGAGCAGCCATCAAGTGCCTGATGGATGCATCCCATTTCAAAGTACAGCTGAACTGCTGGGAATAAATGATCTTTGATGAATTGTCCTCCTTTCCTTCGGGTCTCTTGCCAGGAGTTTACCTGCAAAGAGCTTTCCAAAGTGGCTGTAAAATGAATTAAGTTGCATTAGGGGTGGTTAAACATAGACAGTGTTGTCACAGGAGAGCTCTCCCTGCCCTGGGATCTGCTTGGACAAGGGGCACAGGATCAGCTGAGGGGTCAAAGCCTATCCCATGGGAATTGAGAGCTGTGGATTGGGGCTGTGGGTGTCTCCTGCCCTCCCAAAGCAGGACAGGGACAGCAGGAGGAGATGGATTTCAGTCCTTGATGTGGGAGAAATGGGGAAGAAGCTGGTGACACAGGGCAACTGAGTAGGAAACTGCTTTGCTGACCCCCCCAGCCATCAGCTGCCACTGCCCTGCAAGGCACAGTGCAGGACAAAAGGGAAGAGGTTCAGCTTTAAATGGAAAAACACTCTGGCAGAGCCCCTGTGCTCTAAATTAAGCCACGACAGAGCCAAGAGGGGTATTGGGTTTCTCATTCCTCCCTTCATCCTCTCCCTTTCAGCTCCTGAGCTGGCTGCTCCCATGGGACAGGCTGGCCTCACTCACAAATGCCACCTAAATCCCTGGCATCTCCGCTTACAGCTCCAAAACCATCCCAGGCAGGGACCCTGGGCTCACAGCAGCTCCTTGGTCAGGGAGAGGAGGGATCTGGGGATGCAGCAGGAACAGAGGGGTTATTCCAGCCTGTCCCTGAGCTAACTGGGGCATTTCTGGGGAATAGGAGGGGATTGTGAGGGGAGGAGCTTGAGAAAGGGGGGTCTGACCTGATCTGGGTGAGGGGAGGTGGTGGGAGCCTCCTTCAGAGCCTTCCCTGGGGTGGCTGAAAATTTGGGAGCTTGGATGGGATCATGGGTGCCATGGGGGATGGACAGAGCCATTGTGGGGGTTCTGAGAGGAGTCCTGGTGGTGGGGATGGATGGAATGGATGGATGGATGGATGGATGGATGGATGGATGGATGGATGGATGGATGGATGGATGGATGGATGATGGATGGATGGATGGATGGATGATGGATGGATGATGGATGGATGGATGGATGGATGGATGGATGGATGGATGGATGGATGGATGATGGATGGATGGAGGGATGGATGGGTGGATGGATGGATGATGGATGGATGGAGGGATGGATGGGTGGATGGATGGATGGGGATGGATGGGGATGGATGGATGGATGAGGGATGGATGGGGATGGATGGATGATGGATGGATGAGGGATGGATGGATGGATGGATGGATGGATAATGGATGAGGGATGGATGGATGGATGGATGGATGGATGGATGGATGGATGGATGGATGGATGGATGGATGAGGGATGGATGGATGATGGATGGGGATGGATGGATGGATGGATGGATGGATGGATGGATGGATGGAGGGATGGATGGATGGATGGATGGATGGATGGATGGAGGGATGGATGGATGGATGGATAAGGGATGGATGAGGGATGGATGGATGGATGGATGGATGGATGGATGGATGATGGATGGATGGATCATGGATGGATGGATGGATGAGGGATGGATGGATGGATGATGGATGGATGGATGATGGATGGATGGATGGATGGATGGATGGATGGATGGATGGATGGATGATGGA